ATTATAATATCATATTATATGATAAAATAATAATATTAGAGTTATTAATATAATTATATTATTATTTGTTACAATATTACTATTATATTATATTATATTACGAGTCTAAATTTTAGATTAAGAAGATTGTAAATTTTAAATTTTAATAGGAGTATTATGAAAGTTTTATTAATTGTACTATGCTGATTCTCGCACAATTTAAAAGCTAAAGTTGTCTTTAAGCTGCTTCTGATTTGGCTGTAGATTCTTGAAAAATTCTTGAAAAAATACTTTTGAGAAGATTTACCAAACACTAAAATCAGCTTCTGCTTGAGTTTGGAAGAGAAAAACAATACCAAACTAAGCCTATGTCCTCTTTAAATATGCATACGTTTTCTTTAATGAGAAAATACGTGTAAGTTATCATTTAGTCGTTTAACTGTTGGATTAAAAAAAATGCATCATGCAAATTAAATTTAGCCGTTAGATAATGAAAACAGACGATCTAAACTATTAAATATTTTTTATGCGAAAGGAAATAACTTGTTTTTAACGGTTAAAATTTCTTAGTATTGTGTACATGATAGTTTTCACATAGAGAAAATGAGACAAATACTTTCTTAAATGTATGAATTTAAAATTTTACATCATACTTTTGATTAATATTCTTTTTAGTTAAATAATTATATTAGTGAATGGTTATTAAGTAAAAGTAAAAAGTAAATCCAAATGCGAGCACAAAACAAATTTTTCTTTTTAACGTCTAATGCAGGCCGGCTCGTATTGTTCATGTTAGAACCTAGAAAGAACCCATTGTGCAAGAATAACTTGAAACAAAAATAACCCACAAAAGGAGGGAATTTAAATAGACCTCATCAAATAGATTTGGCACTGAAAAGGAGCCGTTGCCCCTTTAAGAAACCAAACCAAATGCATTTTGCCAATTTGTTGGTTTTTGTTACATACAAATCCAGCTATTTGGCGGCAACAAAAATAAAAATCGAAGCAAGAAAAAATAAAAAGCAACCAACAAAATAAGATAAAAAAACAATTACCACTCTCACATCATAGAGCGTGGGGCTCATACTCCATATTATTCCAGAACTATTTCCCAACCACGACAGAAACTGTACATCACGCGCTTTATTGGAGCGTGGTCCTCAACCCCAAAAAAAACCCAATGTGAAAATTAAAAATAAAAAAGAAACAAAAAACTCTCTTCTATGCTCCTCTGTACGCCCTAGGGAACTTTATAAAGCTGAAACAACAAAACGAGGAAAAAAAAAAAAAAAAATCAGAACGAAAGAAAGCTTCAAAAAAGTCCCAAAACCCAGACCCCAATCTTCACACAATGGAGCCTAAAGAGCTCAGAATGCATTAAACCCAAGAGCTTTTCGGTGCTTCGTGAAATCTGCATCTAGGGTTTTGCTGTTTTTCTTCGTCAAAATCTCTTCTTTTCATTCGAGCTTGGAACAAAGTCAAGTCCACTCCACTCGGGTGAGTCTCTCATTTCAATGATTCTGATCTTAATCGGAGCCTTTTCGGACACCCAATTGGATTAATAACGCGATCGATCAGTGCCCATCTGCTTGAAACATCAAATTTCTGCGTATTTATACGAGTATTGATATTGTATATAGGAGCATTTATATATTGGTGTGTAGAATTATTCTTTTTGTGATTCTTGTCATGCGATATTCGTCGTCGACATCGGTTACGTCGTCGCCGGAGGAAAGAAAGGGTGGTTCTAGTCCGTCGGGCCCTCGGCTTCGGAAGAAGCACAAGAGGCTTGACGCCATATGTGAGGAGGAGTACAATAGAAACCATGGGGATTTGAATGATAGTGGCGGAGGGGCGGTGGTGGGGAAGGGGACGGAGAGTGCTGATTTTGAGATCCGAAGAAGCTCGCGGGTTCGTAAGGCTCCGGTTTTGCTTGATGTATCGCCTCCGCCACCGAAGAAGCGGCATAAGAATAAGAAGGATGGTTGTATCTCTAGTAACGAAAAGAATGTGAGAAGTACGCCACGCGGGGTCAGCGCATATTCAGAGGAGTTGGATACCCCTGGCAGTTGGAAGTCCAGGTTGAGATCAAGAGGTAGAAGTGTGAGGTTTGAAGTGAAAGAGGAATTGTATACTCCGAGGGGGAAAAGGAAGCTTTTTGAGGATGTAGATGATGATAGAGCTCAAGAGAACTTTTCGGGTAAAGAATTGGGCGGTGAAAAAGGTGAATCAGAAGGTGGAAAGTATACGGTCGTGAAGTCGAAGAGACCAGGTAGGATTAAGGCTACAAATAGTTCAAATAATGCAGAAAAAGATAATGATGACGGTGTTGTTAAAGATGAAGTTAGGAGGGAAGAAGCAGAGCTTGTTGGAAATGAGGAAAAGGAGGTTGAATTGGAATCGGATAGTGATTTAGGTAGCGTTACTGAAAGGGAAAAAGTAGTTAGTGATGATGCCACGCAGCTAGTCGAGACGGAGGGGGGTTTGCAGATGGAGGATGGGTGCGTTTTCAGTGATACAAAGGAAACATTGGACAATTCATCGAAAATGGAAACATTGGACAATTTGGAGGGCATTAAACATGTAGAGAAGCAGATGGAACAGTTAGACCTCGGACAAAATCAAACTGATGTAGTGGAAACTGCTGGACGCTTCGCAAATGAAACTGATGTGGCCATTGAACATCTAGAGAAGCAGGCAGAGCAATTAGACTTTGGACAAAATCAAAGTGATGTTGTGGAAATTGTTGTATCCTCTGCAAATGAGATGGAAGGTGCAGGTTGTTCTAATGGGAAGGATGTGAAGGGGACTGAGCATGATGAAGGGTCTCATGCGAAAGAAAATGATGTTGAGACGAAAATTACCAAATGTGCTGCAAGTGATACGCCTGGCAAACCGCGCATCAAGGAGGGCAGACGTTGTGGTTTGTGTGGAGGGGGGACAGATGGTAAGCCTCCAAAACCATTAGCTCAAGATATGGGTGAGAGTGAACATGAGGTGTATAGTGGCTCTTCAACTTCTGAGGAACCTAATTATGATGTATGGGATGGTTTTGGTGATGAGCCTGGTTGGCTTGGACGCCTTTTGGGTCCTATAAATGATCGTCATGGAATTGCTGGAATATGGGTTCATCAACATTGTGCAGTATGGAGTCCAGAGGTGCGCTTTCTTGTCCCGTCTAATCTTTTGTGCTTTGCATGATGGTATCCAAGTATGACCATTTATTATGTATGGTGTTTTGGAGTCATTTTCTTTGGCTACACCACATCGATTATCGTCACTAATAGAACAACTTAGATTATAAACTTAAATGGGGGAAACCTTGTCTACTGCGATATTTTCTTTCAGGTTTTGTAACCATTGGTTTGTACTTTGTAGTATATTGCTCTGGTCTTTAATTGTTCCAGTTCTATTTGTAATAGAAGAAAATCTGTCTACTAGGGTATTAGCTCAATTTTCAATGGCGTAACTATCAAATAATAAATAACCACACCTAAGATCTGATTTTCCATAACTGCCAAGTTAGCATTCTAGGACTCATTAGATTAAAGTTGAGTCGAGTGATTGTCACAGTAACTTTCCATTTACTTTTATTTGTGTTTGCACTTTGCAGGTTTATTTTGCTGGGCTAGGTTGCTTGAAAAATGTAAGGGCTGCCCTTTGTAGGGGAAGAGTGTTAAAATGCACTCGATGTGGAAGGCCAGGAGCCACTATTGGATGTCGTGTTGATCGATGTCCGAAAACTTACCACTTGGTTAGTTACTCTTTGCAATGGAAGAAAATTCAAGAATTTACCAACCTCAATATAAGAGTTTGTGTGTTCTTATAAAAAAAAAAAAAAAAAAAGAAAAAAAAAAGAAAAAAAGAGTTTGTGTGAGATATATGTGGATGTCCATATCTTTGGCCAGATATGACAGTACTCAGTTCCCAGTAAGCAATTGCAACAATCTTTGATGGTATACTAATACGCTGTTTTTTTCAGCCTTGCGCACGAGCAAATGGGTGCATCTTCGATCATCGCAAATTTCTCATAGCATGCACAGATCATCGGCATCTCTTCCAACCTTATGGCGTCCAGTATTTTGCGAGAATAAAGAAAATTAAGGCAAAGAAAATGAAGTTGGAAATAAGAAAACATGCAAATGATGCTTGCCGAAAGGATATTGAAGCAGAAGAGAAATGGTTGGAGAACTGTGGCGAAGATGAAGAGTTTTTGAAGCGTGAAAGCAAGAGACTTCATCGAGATTTGGCTAGGATTGCACCTGTATATATTGGAGGTGGAGAGTCTGAGTCTGGAAAAGTGTTTCAGGGTTGGGAATCTGTTGCTGGCCTTCAAGACGTCATCCAGTGCATGAAGGAAGTTGTCATATTGCCTCTACTATATCCAGAGTTCTTTGATAATCTTGGCCTTACACCACCTAGAGGTGTTCTTCTTCATGGGTATCCTGGAACAGGTAAAACTCTAGTCGTTCGGGCATTAATAGGTGCATGTGCCCGTGGTGATAAACGGATAGCTTATTTTGCCCGAAAAGGTGCAGATTGCTTAGGGAAATATGTTGGTGATGCTGAGCGCCAGCTAAGACTATTATTTCAAGTTGCTGAGAAATGTCAGCCATCTATTATATTTTTTGATGAAATAGATGGATTGGCACCTTGCCGCACAAGGCGGCAAGATCAGACCCATAGTTCAGTTGTGTCAACATTGCTTGCACTCTTGGATGGTCTAAAATCTCGAGGTTCAGTTGTAGTCATAGGTGCAACAAATCGTCCTGATGCGGTTGATCCAGCATTACGGAGGCCTGGAAGATTTGATAGGGAGATCTATTTTCCACTTCCGTCACTCAAGGACAGAGCTGCTATTCTCTCTCTTCACACGCAAAAGTGGCCAAAGCCAGTTACTGGATCCTTGCTCCAGTGGATTGCAAGAAAAACCGCAGGCTTTGCTGGTGCAGATCTGCAGGCACTTTGCACTCAAGCAGCCATTACTGGTTTGAAGAGGAATTTCCCTCTGCAGGAGATATTGTCCGCAGCTGAGAAGAATTCCTGCAGTAAACGCCTTCCTCTCCCTAACTTTGCAGTGGAGGAGAGGGATTGGTTGGAAGCTCTATCGTGTTCTCCACCTCCCTGCTCTCGTAGGGAAGCTGGAATGGCTGCTAATGATGTAGTATCTTCTCCTCTTCCATTGCACCTCATTCCTTGTCTGCTGCAACCGTTGGCTGCTTTGCTCATCTCCCTTTACCTCGACGAACGTGTCTGGTTGCCAGCTCCACTCTCTAGAGCTGCTAGTATGATTAAAACTGTGATTGTTTCTAACTTGGCCAAGAAGAAATTAAACAGTGATTGTTGGTGGTCATTTTTTGATGATTTTATTCGACAAACAGATGTTGCAAAGGAAATAGAAAGGAATCTTCTGGATTCTGGCATTTTGGATGGAGATGCTGACATAACTACTTCTAGTGGTTTTGATGATGAGATTGATGACAACAATGCTATCTCGGGCTCATATGTGAAACATAATGGTAAAACCAACACAAATTTGACACGGTACACATCATGCCCGTCGAGAAATAAATCAGGATTCCGAATGTTGATTGCTGGAAGTGCTGGATCTGGTCAGAGGCATCTTGCTTCTTGTCTTGTTCGCTGCTTTGTTGGGAATGTTGAAATTCAAAAGGTTGATTTGGCTACAATTTCACAGGAAGGGCATGGAGATGTGGTGCAGGGGATAACACAAATATTAAGTATGTTCCCCCTCTTTTAAACTCTAGAATTTATTATTCCTTTATTAAGTATGTTCCCCCTCTCTTAAACTCTAGAATGTATTATTCCTTTCAAAGCTGTTCTTTTGCAACCTCCCCAAATGCTGGTTATTTTTATTATTGTTATTTTCTGGTTGCATTATTATCATCGTCCGTGATGCCTTAAGGTTATGCTTGGTAGGAGGGACAAAAAATAGGTAGGGGGAAGAGGTAGACAACCTTGGTGAGAAGAATTGAGAGGTCTTAAGATTATTGACAGTCGATTGGTAAATGATAAAGGTTTAATTAATGCAGAATTAGAGTGATGCAAAGTCAATAGAGAATCCCAGGACGAGAAAGAAAAGGATAAGAGGGTAAGAGAAAAAAATAAAAAGAGAGGAGAGTGAGTATCTGAAACTATGTCAAATTTCAATGATTAAAAATTGTCCAATCAGTTGATTTGGCTATAAGGCTTGTTGACAGAACATTGAAATTGAAAGCTAAGGAGCTAATCTGGAGACATACAACCTAACAGAATCATAGAATGAGTTATTCATTCAAACTTCGAGTACCGCATTATTGTTGATCCTCTTGCATGAGTATATGCTTTAAAAGGTTGTAAGATTAAATAAACTAAATATACTAAATTAATATTTTTACTGATTGCTATTTTTGTCGCAGTGAAATGTGTCGGTGTGACTTCATGCATGGTGTTCATGCCAAGAATAGACTTGTGGGCTGTAGAAACTCCTCAGCAAGCGGTAGAAGAGAGTGATTCCTTTTCAACCAACCTCCATCACAGTGAGAAGGATAATGTCTGTATTGGTCATGATCATGTTTTAGAAAAAGAAAACATTTCCAGTCCACAGACATGCAAAACAGCAGAATTAGCTGGAGACCAAGGTGTTGCACAGAAGGCCTCGAGTTCCTGGAGCTTATTTGTTGAGCACGTGGAATCTCTTCATGTTTCTACATCTCTGATGATTCTGGTATCTCTCTCTCTCTCTCTACACACACACACACACATATCAACAGTCGGTGTAATTGTTCCCTGGTTTCTATATAGTTGCCGTGAGGCAGTTCTTCATTGTTAGTATTATTATTGGTACTAGTACTATTATTAGGGTTAGGGTTTGGCTAGATCAACACCATAACAACATTAAAGGTTTATAATTTGGGATGCTTTTTTTTTTTAACTTTTCTTTTCTTTTGTTTTTCATCAGGCTACATCGGAAGTTCCGTATTTAATGCTTCCCGCTGAAATCAGACAGTTCTTCAAGAAAGAGATATCAAATTGCGCTCAGTCAACTCATATGGAGCAAACAGTTCCTAGATTTGCTGTGCAAATTGATGGGAATTTTGACCGTGATTCCGTAATTAATCTATCTGCAGCCAAGTTATCAAGGGATGTGGTTCGACAGCTAATTCAATTTATTCACCAAAGTTCTCACATCCATAAGACGTCATCGGAGAATAGAACGTTTGATATGATTGAAGAGCAGGCAGGAATACTAAATCTCAATACTGCTCATGTATCAGAGAAGAGCAGGCAGGAATGCTAAATCTCAATACTGCTCATGTATCAGATGATGCACCAACACGATGTAATGACGAATCTGTTGTTAAAGCTCCTCTTCCACCTAACAATAGAACTGTCAAGGGAAGATCGAATTTGCATCTAGCAATAGCGTCATTTGGCTTCCAAATTCTTCGATATCCTCATTTTGCCGAGCTCTGTTGGGTCACATCAAAACTCAAAGACGGTCCCTCTGCGGACGTAAGTGGACCTTGGAAAGGCTGGCCTTTCAATTCTTGTATTGTTCGCCCCAGTAACTCAGAAGAAAAGATAACGGTTGGCTCCAGCTCTGGCAACGTTAAAAGCAAAGAAAAACCTGGTTTAGTTAGGGGCTTAATTGCTGTCGGTTTATTGGCATACAGAGGTGTGTACACATCACTCAGAGAAGTCTCCTTTGAGGTTCGGAAGGTTTTCGAGCTTCTAGTCGGACAGATCAATGAAAAAGTTCAAGCTGGGAAAGATAGATATCAATACGTTCGCCTTTTGTCACAAGTGGCATATCTAGAAGATAAGGTTAACAGCTGGGCATACACACTGCAAAAGTAATATTCTCATCCAAATTGGTACGCTTGCAACTTCATTTTCGTTTTGTACTCTGTTTTGTAATTATGTTTCTTTATATTTCAGTTTAGAGCTGGATGCTCCAGTGATTGCGGCAAACTCTCAGCTCAACAGCGCCATAGCTCCAGTTAACCAAGTTCAAAGTGAGGAATGTGAGCCACATGAAGAAAATCCACAAGGATTTGCTTCCAAAAAAGTTGACTCTGTAGACTTGAACAAGGAAGGTGGTGATTTCAGTTGTCCTAGTGCCGAGGGTAGAGTTGCAACTACAGATGCGTCTCTGCAGAATGCTGTCATGTTGAATTCTATGCCAGACAAAACCGTTCACAATCCAGAGGATTCTCACCAGTTGTTGGGTAAAATTTTGAATGGGCAGAATGGGACGCACCCCGAACCACCCGAGTCTGAAAATGGCAGAAACAATATGTTGCTGGACAGAGATTCTCGACTCTTGGAACTTCCAAATGGACTTGCATGCACTGATTCTGCTGTCATATCTGAGGATGGTCTTGGTTCCGGAGAATCAGGTGATGTGAAGTGCTCTATCAACAGCGGCGTCTCCAGCCACGTTCCTGATACCCCTAGAGAGACTGCTAATGTGCCTAGGCCTGATACTGACGGGAATGTTCAAAATGTCAACTTCCCTTCAGTCAAAGCTACCAAGTCTGAGGATGTATGTTTATACCGTTGTTGCCCCGAATGTGTAAACATTCTCCTCAGTTTGACAAAGAAAATTCTTATTCATGAATGGGAATCGGACAAGAGTAATTGGACGGTGGAGGATGTTCACGATGTTGTGGCATCGTTATCCATTGATTTTCTTTCGGCCGTTAGAAGAGTTTGTGTTGCTGAGAATAGCAGCGGCAATGTGTTTGATGGAAAACCAAGAAAAGACGAGAAGTTGATTGAATGTCCAGAACTGAGGACATGCAATTGCAGCAATTCCGGAAATGGGATTTTTGTGCCAATGGAATGTAGTTGTCATTCGGTCATCCGTATTATGAAAGCGGATACTTTCCGAGATAATCAATCCATACGTGAAATGAATTTTATTTTCAGAGATGGTGTGCTGTTTAATATGGATCCTGACAAGGATGCTTCTTTTCACTGTAAATTTGAGACAGTATGCCTCTGTTCTCTTATGGAATCAATACTAATGATCAAGCAGTCTTCCGATTGATTTGATTATGTCACAGCTTGGATTACTTAGCAAAGGAGATGCTTGGTGCGGCGGAATTAGTTTCTAAATTTACTAGAGATATCAAAATTTTGTTGGACTCGGTGAGTCTTTATACAGATTCCCTTTTGTTCCATGATGAGAAAAACTGAAAGGGCTTTCTTTTTCTGCAATTTACTTCATATAAGTTTTGACTCTCCTTTGACTGGAGCTAATCTATACCATGTAAGTATTATTTTGATGTTAGTCGTTCGTTATTCTTTCATAACTATATAATTCATACTTCATGTGTATAAAGCTCTCTTTTTTAAACGTGCTGATGGTAATCGATTTCTTAGTTCTGCAAGTATTTGCATGTTATGTCAGTTTGCCAGGAGTATCTTTGGCTAGATGAGATTAACATGCAGGCATGTAAATGGGATGAGACGGCTAAAACCCGCCCCGGGCCGTCCCATTTACATCCCTAGATGGGAAGAATTGCTGAACTTGTATACGGTTTAGGTTTGGTTTTTATCAGATGAAAGCTAGAATTTTATTTTATTTTTTTTTTTTTCTAAGAGCGTTACTTCCATACTTTGTACATCAAGGACGTTAAATAATGTTATAAAAACATGAATACTTTTTAAATTCAGTTTGGATCTTGGTAGTTTTCATGGCTTAAGAAATATATTTTTCGGAGACATGAACTTTTTAGATACATAGGTGAAATGGTCAGGCCTTGGTTTGCTCCCACAAGGTGTGGGTTCGAACCACCTCATGGGCACCTTCATGACAAATGTACTAGTTTCATGCCTTTTAAAGATTGTAGGCCGTGTTTGGAATTGATTCTGTTTTGTTTTTCACGTTTTTTGAAAAAAAAATAAAAACGTTTTTAAAACAGCGTTTGACACAATAAAGATAAAAAACGGAAATGAAAATGATTTTTTGGTTTAGTGTAAAATGAGAGAAATAAAAAACGACTTTTAGTCGTTTTTCATTTTTTATTTTTATTTTCTCCTCTCTCGAGCAGAGAGAGAGAAAGAGATACATTAAAGGGGTTTTTTTACACTGAAAATAATCTCTTAATAAAATTATCAAATACATTTTCAAAAATGATTTATGTCTGAGATTGAAAACATTTTTATTTTTATTTTCATACAAAAAATAAAATTATTTTAGAACGAGTTTTAAACACGCTGATAGAGTTTGGAGGGCTCCAATTTCTAATTTGTGCTCACAAAGTGGGTTCGGGCGATTTCTGAGTATCTATGAGAAGGACCTCGATGTTGATAAAATGTCTTCTATCCAAGAGCGTCATTGCATCACAGCAGGGACGTCTCCAACGTTGTTTATCAAGATATCTGGTGATGTTCATTAAGGGGAAAAAAAAAAAAAAAAAACCCTCTGGTGATGATAAGATTATTATGTTTTTACAGGATATTCTCATTCTATTTCTAATGTTATGTTTGGAGAAGTTAGGGAGTGATAGAAGATTAGTGGATTTCTCAACCATGGGAAGAGTTCCAACTATTTGAGAGTCAATAATCGGTTGGAGTAAGAGGTGGTGACTATTTGACCTTTTTTTTTTTTTAAGGATGTTTAAAATTGTTGTTGAGGATTGTTTTTAGATTGTTAAATGATCCGAGTTAGGATGTTTGGTTTGTTATTGTCAATTGAGTTGTAAAAAATGTTGCCTAACCACATAATTGGGAAGTATGACAAGAGTTATTTTAAAAAAAAAAACTCAATTAGGATGGTTGTCCCGACTTGACCTAAAGTGGCTCTACCATTGGCCTTTGACAAGTTTGTAGTTGAAGAGAGAATGTGAAGCTTGTGGCCGCAAAAAAAGTGCAGTATTGGTCATTTTGGGTTAATGGAGCAATGTTTTATGCCTCGTTCAGTTCGCGGATTCGAGTTTTCAATTTGAGTTGAAATGTGATTTTATGTGAGAGCTTTTCACTATAGTAGAAAAAGTTAGATGCGATTTTTTGTGAGAACTTTTAATTGTAGTAGAACTAAAATTATAAACTCGAATCGGTGAAATAAACAAAGTCTTAGATTGTAGATAATTTTTGCATCACTGTTCTACCTTTGACTTCATTAAGGAGGCAAAAATTGAAATGAAACTAAACGCGTTTTCTCCTTCAAGAACAAGTATAAATAAATTGATCGTTTTAAATATTCATAGTATTTATTAAATAATAAGTGTGTATAAAAAGTGAATTTCATTTCTTATTCAAATCATTCAAAATATCTTTTTTTTATATATAAACATAGAAATAGAAAATAAATTACGTCGAGCAAGAAATTAACATAAAAAGATTATAATATTTGTCAGATAAAGTAGTATAGGTAGGTTAGAATGGGAAAATAAACCACCACCATATAAAGCCAAAAGCATAAAAAATAAGTGACCCGCTCGTTTGTGATTCATGAATGGTAATACTACCCTTGCTAATACATTAAAACCTCTATAAATAAATGATCTGGTTAAATGCATGTGATAATAATTTTCAAAGCCTTTAAGACCCAACGATTATAAATTAATAATTAATTAAATAAATGATTAATAACTTATAAAATTTGAAAACCTACATACATTGTATGTTTATGTACGTACGTACTAACCTTTTTGTACAATGTATACACATCAATGTTTGGATTTCTATGTATGTGCAAATGACATTTATTATTTTTTTGTATGTACCTATAACTTTTAATTTTTATGTGTACACAATTAACTTTTGACCACATCCATTATTCTTTGCATATATATACATCAGTTTTGGTTAAGAAAATGTGCACAAGTTATTAAAACATAAAACTCTACTTAAATTAACAAATGTTCACTTATTAACAAAAATTATTAATTTGTCGATAAATAAATAATCTTTCTAAAGTTATATTTTTTTCTTAGTCCCAATAGTATTAATATGTTTTACTAAGGGGTGTCTTGTAAAAAAAACAAAAAGTTTCCATAGAAGTGTAACATTGGGGGAAAAAAAAATCCGTGTAAGTGTCGGTGTAATTTTTTAGTTTTAAGTTGACATATCTTGAAGCAATCTTATTTTCTCTTTTTCTCCAACACCCGAAGCCATTCATCGACCTTATATGGCGTTTGGTTCATAGATTCAAACTATGTGATTAGAACTATTTTTTATTTACGTGTATTTTTTGTGAGAGAAAATACTGTAGCGAACCACGAACCATGATTCGAATCAGGGAACGAATCTATGTATGGACGGGTCAGCACGCAAATTATAAGTTGACCTTTAGTTTTCGATTCAGAAGTTTTCATTCTCATTGTTATTTCTCATTTAAAAGCGAAATAAAAAAAAAAGATATGCACAAAAAGGACAAATTCTATTATGAGTATACAAATGGAAAAAGCAATTTCAGCAGAAACACAAGAACAAAAAGACAAAAAACTTATATTACTAAGGTAACTAATCACCTCATATCGACCTTGAAGAAATCAAATAATAATAATAATAATAATATAATCAACCATTATTTTCTTGTAACATGGACAGCAAAATCAGGAAAAAAAAATTAAGCTAACCAAGATTAGAAGTACTTACTTTCTAATAACTAAATCATTTTTTATTAAGCACCGACTCTTCCAAATTCTTGACAAACTCGTCAATATAGCCACTGATGAACCCAGGTTTCCCCAACAAATCTCTCCACTTTGCATGGTTTTTCCTCACCATAATCCCCACCTCACTATCTTCATCCACCACAGATTTTATGGCTTTTCTCAAACTTTCCTTTGAAAACCACCCACTTTCTAATTCCTTCTCAACTTCCACAGCAACTTTGATTTCCTTAGCCAAAAGCTTGGTGTTGAGTATTTGGTCACCCAAGTGTGGGACCAACACAATCTGGTTCTTGCTCAACAATGCCTCCCACATTGACCCAAACCCACAATGGTTAACAAAACACCCAACAGAAGGGTGGTTCAGTATCAATGGCTGCTGAACCCAGCCCCCATAAACAATTCCTCTTCCCTTTACTCTCTCCGCGAACCCGACCGGGAATGCTTCCTCCACGGTTTCGCATCCCACGGGCGGTTTCAGGGCTATGAGAAAAGGAAAATCTGTTGACTCGAACCCTAGGAGGAGTTCTTGAAACTGGTCCTTTTTGAGAATATGTTGGCTACCAAAAGCACAAAACACAACCGAACCGGGCTTGAACCGGTTTAGCCACTCGGTCCACCGGACTTCTAATGGGGTGGTATCGGTTGGTTCGGATAAAACCGGGCCGGTTAGGAGCAAGGGCTTTTTATATTGAGACGCAATATAGTCGCACAATTCACCTTCCACTTCCCTACACGTCCTTATGGACAAAACGTCGGCGTTTCTCATTGCCGTCGTCGTCCGTTCGTAGAATGTTATTCCATCTCCGAACGGGAGAGAAATGAAGAGCAATGATCGGACTTCAGGCCCGCGAAGAACCACGGTTGACGACGGGTATCCGGGTGGTGGATCCTTTATATCCTCCACTGTGACCGTCCTATCGCAGGGAACATTACGTGCAGGAACCAGCGCGATCGCCAACGACGACGCAGAGACGACGCTGTAGCAAACAGAAATCGCACCAATGTGAGCTGTGATGTCGGGAACCCAGTGAGCAAAATCATAGAAGACAATCTGGGGCTTGGCGGCGGAGAGGAAGTCATGGACTTGGGGGCGCGTGAGGTCCATGGCGGCGGCGAGCAAGTGGGTTTTTGAGAGGTGGATGTCGGAGGCGGTCTCGACGCCGGGAGGGAGGCCGTCGACGTGGGGAACGGTGATCGTATGGAAGGTGATGAGGTTGGGGTGGAGATTGAGATGTTGGAGCAGAATTTGAGCTTTCTTCGGCAAAAGGATTGAAATTCTGTGGCCTCTGACGGCAAGCTCGTTGGCCACATGGATGAACGGCGCTATGTGGCCGGTGGCGAACCACGGAAACATGGCAACGTCAAAGTTTGCCATTTTAATTAAGTTGTTTTGGATAGTTGAACAAAATGAACCTTATTTAAGGAGATATATATTCTCAGTATTCTTAAATACTATTTTCACATATATACGAGTCATTTTGTTTGTGTGTGTGTGTGCGTGTGTTTTTTTTTTTTTTTTTTTCGTTATAGATTTTTTCCTATTTATACAGGAGTGATTGTTGAATGTATAGATACATGAATATTATATGTCGGTTGCAGATTTTTAGGAGATGACAGACGTGAAGTTTTCCATTTAAATTAACTTGGATTTGCTAGGAGTACAAAATGCATCCTAACCAATGAGATCCGTCTTCTTAAATACTATTTTTGACGTGATTTGAGTTTTTTTTTTTTTAATTTTTAATTGATATTTCGTATCTATATATTTCTTTTGAGGGCATTTAATTCGTATTTATATAACACTTACACATGCATATATATTATCTTTTTTGTTTAGCCAAAAAATATATATTGTTCCTTTTTTAAAATAAAAAAAATTTTCCAAGTGGGTAATTCGCAAATTTTTAGGAGATTTGTTTTCGTTTTTTAATTAGTCTGCGTTTGTTATATATATGATAACCGTGAGTTGTGTTTTCTCTTTTTTAACCTCACGTGAATTTTTATCATCGCTCTCACAGGATTTTCGGTATTTCGTTAAATTTTGAAATTTTTGCTGTATCTGTGTAGGTTTTTTTTTTTTTTTTTTTTTTTTTTAATGATTAATGATACGACTGTATAGTTTGAATGGACTATGGAGTTTGTTATAATAACTTGGAGTTTGTGGTGTAATTCTGGCGGACTCTGCGGGACCAACTTCCATCATGCATGGTTTATAACCCACAAAAAAAAAAAAAGAAAGAAAAAAAAAAAGAGTAAAACAAGTTAAAGAGTAATGCTAAGTCCCAACTTTCATTAAGATACAATCTCTTATTATAATTTGAACTACATTGTAAATTGTTGATAATTTTATGTATGTCTTAGATTAAAATTCCGGTATTATATATTATAGAGTGAGTTTCACTTGCAGTTTTATATGTTGTTTGCTTGATCTCACCGTATCTTCTTCAAAGTCCTCTGCCTTTTCTGGTGGTGCTCTTTACCGATTGCCTCCTCGCTAGAGTCGCTTGTCATTTTGTGTTTATTGGTTTTTATTTTTGGTGTGTTTTTATTATAATCGGGGTTTTCATCACGTTGTACTTGTTTGTTTTTAGTATCCGTTGGACTGGTGTTTTGGCAGTGCTTAGTGTAGCCTTAACACTACGATGTTTTGTCACTCTATCGCTCAAAAACTTATTTTATTTAGAGGGGTTTTATCAAATAGAGCATTAGGTGTGATCGATCTTAATATGCCGAGATATTCTCCCGTTTTTGGGCTTCAGATGTACGTCTGTTCTCTTGCCGAGTCATTAGCCTTTGTTTCTCTAGTTTTGTTTAAATAGAAATTTGTGGTTCTGTATTAAGGAGATTGTTTCCAAAGAAACAATAAACTCTTTATATATATATATATATATATATATATATATGTGTGTGTGGAAGAAATACTAAACTTTGGGGTTCTTTACATATCAAAATATATAATCACAAAATATATTGCCAGTAATTGTAGGTCTTTTTAGTGGTGAACAAGAACTTGTCCCTATTTGAGAAATTGAGATAACTAAATCGGATAAGTTTAAGCCTGAAGGATAGGGTTTCAAATTTTTAGGAATTTGACGTAACCGTCCTATTTGTGTGGATTTCAAAAGGACCCAAAACCTAAAAAAAATATACGAACTATTATCAAGAATAGTGTTAAGAATGAGGAATCCCAGGTTTTAGGACATTAATAATTCAACGTGGGAGATGATGAATTTAAATTAAAAGATTATATTGTAAGAATTTTTTTTGATATGGCCTATGTGTAATTTTATATTTTCTCACTTATTGTTAATATTTATATAATGTAACCATAAATCCATTTGATTTATGAAGAGATGCAACACTTCTAAATTTAAGTGAAATGTTATGACTTTTCTAATAGGTGTTTGTAGAGTTGTAACTTTTTTTTTTTTTCCCTTCTTGAAAAGGTAATTTTTCTAATATACATTACTTTTATGAAAAGTTGTGACTCTACCAATAGGTGTCTATGTAGGAAGAGTTGTGACTTTTTTTTATAAGAGGCATTTTAAGAAAAATTATAACTTTTCTAATAAATACTTTTACATGAAGAATTGTGACTATTTATTTCATAAAAGGTTGTAACCTATAGATACAATAAAAGGTTGTAACTATTCAAATTGTTTTTTTTTTTATGAAAATAACTATTAAAATGTGTACTATTTTATTGGATTATAGTTTATGCAATATTATAATTTGCATAGAATCTTTTAACATACATGCCCCTTAAAATTATAAAAATTTATTTTACCTATAATTCTTTTAAATTTTTTGTTTATGCCTTCTTATTGACAAGATGTTTTGTATGGCTCTAGTTTTGGGAAAGTCTAGGGTAGGGTGAGCTCTTTTTTTCCTACCGATAGGGTGAAATCATAAACCACTTTTGGATCATTATTGAATGGTTAAGATTAAAAGGATGCACCAAAATATTTATAGCATGGACTGTATAGGATTGCCAACCAAAAAAAAAAAAAAAAAAAAAAAAAAAAAAAAAAAAAAAAAAGAACACCTTCCCTTCTCTGTCATCGATTCATGAGAGCTTTCTCAATTTTTTTTTTTTTTTTTTTCCCCCCGTTGATCTTGAATCTCAAACCCGGAAAATCCACGCAAAATATTAATTTCTAGAAAATCTAATACATTAATTCTAAATAGTCTGTGCAATAACATGCAATTCAAAAGTATCGCAACTTTCAAAATCGGATCCATTTGTTCAACTCAAACTCAGATCTCAAGTTTATAATACAAATTTTTTTTTTTTCTTATAACTTTGAGGATGTGAAATTTGAACTATACATTTATAAGAAGAGTCACACAGTTTACCGTTAAACTATGTCGCACAACCGTGATTTATAATACGATTAACATTCTTTAGGTGATAACTAAAATACAATCGATCTAACGATTGCTTCCACAAAAAGTTAATAAGAAAAATATATCTAGGAATTTACTTGGACCAGCATAAACATTCTCCACGTCGTTCGGGGATTTGAAAACATTCGGGAAAATTCAATCTTGATCCAACTTCTATGATGCATGGTTTATAACAGTCCTTACCCATTAGGTGGTCGTGTTGCGGTAAAATTTTGTGTCACAGATCGTGTTCAGATTGACTGTAAATTTAAAAAAAAATAATCAAAATACGCCACGAACACGACACGTGACACGAATTACCACTCATAATTTAGTGTAACAACGGAATTGCGGTTTCTTGAAATCTAAGGGAAAAAAAAGTAGTAAAATAAGAGGGGAGCTTTTTGGTAGTACCACAAAAAATGAACTACCGGTGGTTATTTATTTTCAGCCGTTAGATCTGTATCATAAATTGTATTTTCTGTATACTTTTTCACTCTGATGTGATTTTAACATGATTCAACAGTCAAAAATTAACATTACGAGTAGAACTAGTCTATAAAAAAACTCTCAAGTGAGAATTACACAACATAAATAAATAAATATATACATGACAAACAAGTCATCTTTATAAATTGTTAGATACTTTTATATATATCCCAGACAGAGAATTCCTCTGTTAATGATATCAACCTTCTAAGGTTTTGTGGTTTTGTATTAAGGCTGTTTTTTAGATTAATTTCATTCCCATAATCATTCTCAACACGAGTTCTAATTAGTAAAGAAGAACAATAATTGTGGCTGTTAATTTATTTTTGAGATTTGAATCTTAAAAGAAAAATTCTCTAGTATTCATTATTGAATTCATGTAATTTAATGCTTCTCCTGAATTATTTATTTATATTCATTTTGGCACATTGATGATGCCCAAAGTTTAGTTGATGAAAACTCATACCAATTTACATATAAAGTAAATTAATGATGATTTGTATATTTGGAAAAGACGCATTTTTTAAAACAAGTAAACAACCTTTTGGACCTCTGTCTTAGTTTCTAATGTAAGACTATTTTTATCCTAAAACTATTCCTTGATATAAAGTTATAAACAAGTTATTTTCTAAAAATAAAAAATAAAAAAGAAACACTGAACCATAAGTTGTCTTTTATAATTCGTAAACCACCATATTAACTTTTGCATAAAAAGTAATGTTAAATATAGAAGGCTTACGTACATTAACATGTTATAAGTGTTAGACAACTGTAGATAAATTTGACCCACTATTTTACACTACTAGAGGCATAGTGTAACTAATTAATTTCTAAAGGACATTATAAGTATAAATTCACAAAATTTCATTTTAAGTAAATTAATCATCACGAAGCACAAACTTTTTAGACATCAATATTATAATAGCTTTTTTTTAGATGGCCTTCCCAGGCATGGAATAATAGTTGTGTTTTCATAAGAAATTATAAGCATGCCTTACTTCAAATTAGCTACATTATCTAAAATACATGGATGGGTGTTTATCAAACTAATAAGACATTAAAAGGGTTGTCCCGTGCACTAACAAAAACTGAATCAAGTCAAAACAACTCAAACCAAACGAAATTGAGTTTTTTTTTTTTTTTTTTTTTTTTTACATACACCCTAAGCTGTATTAAAAGGGTTGTCCCATGCACTAACAAAAATATTCATTGAAGGTTATAACAACGGGTTGTATCACTCGGTGAGGAGTACATCACCTCAATCTCACCGAATGTGCATATGGTTCAAATTATATGAGAGTGATCCTAGACATATCAAATCGAGTACTGACTAGTAAGAACAAGCCTTCACAATTAAGATCGTCAAAGAAATTCACTGAAAACTCAAACTTTTGATCACAGACCCAAACTGTGGTAATACTTACTGCTAGTGCACCACACTCTCCAATGATAAACGAAATTGAGATTAAAAAATGTTTGTCATTAGTAGTCTCTAATTATTTAGCAGATAACAGTTTGATTCTTAAGGGGCATTTGGTCTGCAGGAATCAGTAGGAATCATATTCTCAGAAAAGTGATGGAGGGTAATATGATTCCTAAGAATAATTCATTACTGTGTTTGGTTCCATACATGAATCTTTTTGAAATTTCCAGGAATATTATATTACTGTGTTTGGTTGTTCGCATGGAAGAAGATCTATAATAATAATAATAATAATAATAATAATAATAATATTATTATTATTATAAATATAAATATTATTATTATTATTATTATTATTATTATTAATCCCATGATTTTGAGATTCCTGAAAATTTGAATAACACCGTTAGGTGGTATTCAAATTACCTTAAAATGAGAAAAAATAATAATATTCTCGTGATTTTGAGATTCCTGCGAATTTGAATAACACTATGTTGGGTGGTATTCAAATTACCTTAAAATGAGAGAAAGTGAATCCCATGGTAATCACTTTCCTGAGAATCTAAAAATTATAATTCTTGTACCAAACATAGTAATATTGCAAATTCTCATTCTCATCTTTAAGATTACTACATACCAAACACCCCCTTATTTTTTTAATCTTGACAGAACAAATACCAAACTTCTTAATCACCGGTAATTAAAACCTTTCCATCCAAATTCATGTGATGGGAGAAATGAGAGAGAAGCCTAAATCCAACTTATCCAACTTTGTATTGTATTGGGAATAAATCACAAAAGTGCTCATGTAACGTTAATAAATTCTAGCAAACATACGTTCGAGCACATTTTACTTTACCTATGATTCTTCTTCCTAATAATAGTAAACAAACAGAAAGGGATTTTTTTTTTTCTTTTGTTCAATTTGCTTCAAATATGTGAGCAAACACACGGAGAAAACCAAAAATACTATTCAAAATAGTACTAATTAATATTTATGCTATCGAGCAGTAAAAATATGCCTTTTATTAAAGACAAAATACATAATTTGCCACTGTTTTAAACAATTCTATTATTAATGTCAATAAAATAATATTGATACCACTGGATTTTTTTTTTAATCATCTTTGTTTCTCTGTTTCTTCATCTCCTTCACTCTCGCTCTCTCTCTCTCTCTCTCTCTCTCTCATCTGTCTTTTGAGAATGTCTCCCTCTTCTCTCCCTCATCAATCGCGCCGGCAACTAGTTCGTCGAAGAGACATTGCTGCTCCGGCGAAGCGCAGACCGGCCATATGTCGAGCAGATCAGCGCGAGGCTTCATCATCTTCCTCATCGCTGCAACTTGTCTTCTCTGGCGACGGCCAGATCTCCAACAATCGTCGTGACATCTTTGCGAACTTTAAGCGACCTCTAGACTCCATTAATGATGGCGATCTCCGATCTGTAGGGTGGGATGATCCCTAGAGTTGGCTAATATGACTGTGATGGAGAGAGAGAGAGAGGGAGAATAAGAGAGGGGAGAGGGGGAGAGGAAGAGAGATTTTGAGCGATAGAGAGAGCGAGTGAGAGAAGGAAAGGAGAGAGAATATATATATATATATATATATATATGGTGGAATCCGAATAAGTAGAGGGCTGCTTTTTTTAATCGTTGGATTAGTTTTTAACGGTTAAATTTGTATAGGTCCATATTAAAAATTTACAGCGCACCGCACAAAATTACTCTTACTGCAAAGCTCACTGTTAAAAAAATAATCCAACAATAAAAAAAACAGAGCTCCACTGGTGAAACACTTATTGAGGTTCCACCATAAAAAATCCCAAAACAAAAATTGTTATTTTGCTGAGAAAAAAATATTCTGATAGGATATGAAAAACAACCTACTAGAATATGAAAAATAACTTATAGAATATGAAAGATGAACTTTACAATATGAAAAATGAACTACAGATTACATAACCTAACAGAATATTTCTTTAGTGGCATACATAAAAATTTTAAATTGATGGTAGAATAAAAGTGTTATTTTTATGGCATTTTTACACATTCCAAAAAAAAAAAAAAAAAAAAAAAAAAAAAAAAAAACTAAAGTAGCACAAACTTATAATTTAAGTGGCCTAAATGTAAAGTTAACAAAAATAGATCGTAGTATACGTTACTTTCTCCAAACGAAAATACTCAAGTGACACTAAAAAGGGAGTCGATCGTTCTCTTTCTTCATGTCTTCTTCTTTTCCACAACATTTTCCTTTTTCCCCATTATAAGGATTAACAAAACGCACCCTAAATTTCTATACAAGAGTGCACGAAATAAGGACTTTTGTTCAAAAATTCTGTTCGTTTCCACCGGCATTAATTAAATTTAGTCACAGCTCAACTGTAAAACCCTGTTCAACAAATCAGAAATCTAACATTATATTTTATAAGGCAGCCCTGATTAGAAGATAAAAGACACCAAACGGAGATTATACAATATGGGTGTATGCATATTTGAAAATGTACGAGGTTCGTACAAATAACACATATGAAAACTAAAAACCTTATGTCAAAGGTCTAACATTATTTAAGGAAGTTTTTGACACATAACATTCACCATGCTCTGCAACAGCGAGCCGCGGCAACCCATCTTTTACTAGTTAGGTGCCTATTTAGTTCGCTGATTCGAGTTAGATGTGATTTCATGTGAGAGTTTTTTACTGTAGCAAAACTCGAATTTTAAACTCGAATCGGTGAAATAAACAGGACCTAGATGACCTACTTCGACTCAAACCCATGACGCGGTGAACCGGCTCTAATACCAAATGCAGACGGGAGAGCCAAGAGCTTATATAAACTAATTAATTATCTTATTATTATTTCAATATAGGACTTTTTAGTACACAACGCGTTATTCCAGTAGAATCTTTTAGCATATCGCTATGAATAATGCGTGCTTCTAGTCAAGGACTCGAGTCTAAAGACTTGGAACAATTGAAAAGCAGCAAGACATGGAGTATTCTAATATAACCAAAAGAGCATTTTTTTTAACAAAAATGTATTACTCTAAGCTGCAATATTTTAATACAAAAGAATGAGAATCTAATTTACGAACAGGTAATAGCAAATATCAACAAGAATGTACGACTCTCAAATCACGGAAAAAAGATTCTAAAAAGAAGTCTTAGCTTTCGCTTTTCTTAAAAGATACTTTCCTTGGTTTGCAATATAGTTTGTGTTAAAAATTAGAAACCCTAATTCCAAATCACCGAGAGCAACAAAACCACGAGAAGTAAATTAATCAAAATCAAACACACAAAAATTTATAGAGGTTTACCTAATATGAGACTAGGTACTCTTTCAGCTTTTCACTATGACAAGGAAGTTTACACGAGAAATTGCAAACCTCTCAACTCTCTGTGTTTTCTCTGACCTCTGTATTAACCCCAAGATCGGCGCCCCCTTTTTATTACGAAAACTAGAGAAACCAACTTTTACAAGTGTGAAATCTCCAAACTACCGTTAATGAAATTTTAGTACGGCAATAAATCGTCAAGGCATATTAGGCTCCACAACTAAACAGTTTGTGATTCTACCATGAGGAGTTACTTACCTCCAATAGCAGCTATAACAATCTTGGAATACAATATATTTGGGTGGGGATCACAGTACAACATGATTAGTTAGGGTTTTTTCTTTTAACTAGAACTTAAATTATCTTCTGAGCATGGCTACATAAATTAGAGTGGTCCTGCAGCTAGTTAAACTTCTCTTCTCATCAAAGAGTTTCAAGGACAACATAGCGTGCTGAAATCAAAACCCATAACAAAAGAAATTCAATGATATAAAAAATAAAATAAAAAAACCAATTCATGACTCATCTCTCATTAATAGCATGCATGGATCAACCAACGAAACTTCAACGAAAGAAAACTGAGAGAACTAAATTGCACCTACTGATATTAGATTGCAAATCTTAACACAAAGTTTACTAAAGTCCTGAAGTGTGTATATATATATTTTTTTGATATCCAAAAGTCCCCCAAACTCATATTGCGAGCCCGAGTCAGAAGCAGAAGCCTTCCGCCATCTTTAGAAGATAGGAAACTATGACTTTTGTCATGTAGGTTAGACCTTGTATGTTAGGGACCTGATAGCTAGTTAGTGGTTAGTAGTCTTTTAGTAGTATAAGCAGGGGGTTAAGTGGCAGATGAGGCAGATGATCAGATTTGTGAGAAGTGTCTAGTGTTGTACACTGTCTTGGAGGTCGGGGGTCCTCGAAACCACCCATTCTATCTTTGTATTTTCCATTTTCAATCTCGTTAATGCAGTTAAGATTTCTGGTTCCTAACATTGTGGGAGCAAACCAAAGGCCCAACCATTCCAACCAACACCCAATGGATTAGTCCTGAAGTGCATAATTGACCATTGGAGTTCTATAGTGCAACATTAACCAAAACAAGGAAGAGAAGAGGTCACAAAAACCATCTGATATATTCAATCAAATAATAATACGTAATTGTCGAGTTGAAACCATGACTTTGCTATAGATTGGGGACAAAAACAAAAGACCTAATATCAAAAGTCCTAAGTAGTTAAGAAAAAACAAAGCATTGAGATACATAATATACACAATTAAATCTACTTGTAAGAAGGGTCGTATAGTAATCACTCACTCTGAAAGATTTGAGGTCATCTACGTTGTGAAAGATCTTGATCTATCGGTTCAATTTCTTTAAGATTGCTAACTACATTTTGTACTTTCTTGGATAGCTGGTCGCTGTGTTCCTCAACAATTTTTATAAATGCAGTAAGCTGTTCTTGATATGTTGAGCATAGCCGTTTCTTGTTCCGCAGCTCTACAGTCAATTCCTGAATCTTCTTATCCTTTTCATCCTACATAAAGAAATTTACAAAAGCAGATAAAGTTAGTCCATAAATAGATAAAAACCTAAGATATAAATGACAAAGAAAAGATAACACAAAGGAAAATACGGAGCGTGTGAAGATTTTTCATTTTGATTGAATTTCTTGAACAATACAAATGGTAAAACGTGTTGTCTGAATATATTTGTACGTGTATCTTCTGTAAGAGAATATGTATAAAAAGCTACAAATTAGAAGATGAAATTTACAGAAGGTAAAAGTGTTAAAGATTTTGCAGGAAATCAAAGTAGGATTGTTTTGATAGAGGTACAGAGCGGCATTTAAAGATCGGAAAAACTCACCATTGTTTGACGAGCTTCTCGCGTGGAGACTACAAGTGGATGATTGTGGTCCTTTACAAATTTTGTTATCACCCATTTTCCAGACTTGTCGTACTTAACATGAATCATTGCCTTACAGCCTTCCCTTGTGCTTGGCCGTGGTTTTCGAACTGGCCCGAATTTCCCCCGAATACTAACACAGTATCCTTCCTTATTACACCCAAGTCGACGGGCAAGAATCCTTCCGTCTCTTTCAGAACGGCGACAAGACATAACACGCATGACAAATCCCAACCGCCTTGCATACTCATCATAGAATATCTTAGCAGCATCTTCAGAATCAAATTCCATACCTTCACATGGTTCTAAAATCGTATCCCCTTCATACGGGACCAATGGATGTACAGCAGAACTCTCCACTGCCCCAGCTCCCTCGTCCGAATCCACTGCGCAATACATTGGTTGTTACTTACCTTTTAGAAGAAACAAACAAAAGGATAGCGATGATCCTTTTCCACCATGAAATTGAGATGGAAAAACAAAGAAAAATAAAAACTGCATTCCTAAGTTGTTTTTTTTTTTGCCAATTAAAATGAAAATGCTAGAATATTATGCATGGACTGGCGTAATCGTGGACTAATTATTTGATAATCTACTTTTATGTTGTTAACTAAAGCATACCCTCTTGCTCCCATTTTGTAGCGAACTTTGGCAGCCCCGATGGCGGCACCATCACTTCTGGCATGGCACCTAACCCATGAACCTACTACTACTTTACATGCTTCATATCACAAATATATTATTGTTCGGATGCATTCTATCATATAAGGCTATGTAAGAGGGAAAGAAAAAAGGCAGAAAAGAAAGGTATGTAACCTAGGTGAGGAAGGGAACGACCTTTCTCTTATTGTGTTTGGCATAAATTCCCTCTTCTAAACCCTCCATATCGGGAGAAATTAAAATTAAGATTCATTTAATGGATCCAGAATCCTTCCACTAATTCACTCACCCTTTTCTCACCTTACACTTTTTCCTCCTACCAAACAAGCTTTAAATGATTATAATTCTTTCTCTTCCTACAGCTGGGTCATATCTGAGATTATGAATCCTCATTAATCCACAAACTAACATTTGTCACTTAGTTAAATTATCAAACACCTGGTGGACGGGAATAAGTGATAACCACCCAAATTTCCACTAGCAAAAACACCCATTTCTCAGCTAAGCAAAGCAAAATACAGCAAATTATAGGTTAAAATAACAGAAAGAAACACCAACTTTGACATATTCGACATTGAAAAAACCAGTGGCCAACCAGAACAAAAGTCCAAACTAAGACTACATAATACAGATGAAAACATATACAAAACCCACTAAACTTAAAACCCATTTGCTCAAAATACACAACGTTTAACGATAAACTTAAATCGGATACAGCAAAAAGATTGGAGGGTTATTCTTACTGGTTGATTTGAAAGCAGAAGTGAAGGAGGAAATTCAGTCGTTTTGTCGTGTTGTGGGCAATTTCGTATGATATCTTCTTCAGCGTCAAGACTCGGAGTTTCAAATTCTCTGCTGCTTTGCGTTGTGTGTGTGATTGATAAAGTGAATCAGGACACACAGGAAGATCCACTTGTTTTAAGCCACGTACGGAGAGAGAGAAAGAGAAGAAACAATTACTTATTTAAGAGCTTAGTTATGTATTTTTTAATTTTTACCTTGTCTATTTAACGGATAAAAAATTTAATTTATCAATATATTAATGCACTGAAAAAAATTCTTTATTTATTTGAGTAAATTACACCGTTGCATTATAAATTTTTTATTTTTGACATTTTTTTGAAAGATTATTTTTTATCATAATACATTGTAGATTTTTAGTTTTGATAACTTATATCATGAACTTTAAAATTTAATAGCTGACAAATAAACATAAACTAATGGTAATTTTACATCTAGTTCCACATAAGATCTTAGAATTAAATGTACCCACCTCAATATTCAAAACAAATAAAAAAAAAAACAATTATTTTGGTTCTAAACCACAGACCAGATCAGCCAAATTACCATCTGAGTCCCATAACCACACACCCTACAAGAGCTAAATAACAAGTAAAAGTAGTTTTTCCGCTAGAAAAATAACAAGTAAAATAAGTTGAACAGTGTTTTTTGGTTATTTTTAATCAGTTTGATAATAAAAAATTTAATTTGGTAATTTGATATTTCGTTATTACAAAGAGTTCTTAAATAGATTGTGCGTAGTAATCTACTAGATCACCATGGTGACCAATAGTGGATATGCCCAATGATATAGATGAACTAATCTAATAGATTAATTGTGGTAATCCACTAGATTACTCCAGAAACTGGTGTCAAAAAAGGAATATATTTACCTTTTTATACCTTTTGTTATAGATTTATTCAAACTCTACACCTTCCATCAATTAGGTTATTCTATCGACTGTTTGTGGTTTCAAACGAGCTTTGGTCATGCTCACGTCTGTGCCAAACGGGCCCTTTCCCATTGAGTTTCAGTACCTATTTTTACCCATGTGCTATGGTGTTTTTACTAGTGGATCCAATCAAAAGGTCGAGGTGAATCTCCATTGCATTTGAGACCAATTGTTTCTTATGTAAGTCATTTCTTGTTAAATAAAATATTTTCCCTTAAAAAAAAAGCTCTACACCATCCATTTTTAATCTCATTAAATGTATATCTTCAAATTATATTTAATATACAAATTTATACCTTATTTCGGTCAACAATTGATTTTGACCATTAAAATAAAACTATTATTAAAAAAAGAGAGGAAAAAAAAACTAAATTTTACAATATTAAAAAGATTAAAAATTAAAAACACAAAAAAACTCATTTCTACAGTATTTTGCATATTTTTTAGGTCAAAACCTTAACTTTAAAAGTTTATTTTAGTTTTTTTCTTTATCCATTTTTTATTCAAGAGTATTTTAGGTATTTTTAATGTTAAAATACTATGAAAAGGTATAAATTCCTATATTAAATCTAATTTAAAAATATACATTTAATAAGATCAAAAACTGAAATTACAGTTTTTAAATAAATTCAAAACACAAAATATCCTATCAAAAAGATGATCGAACGTGTGATATAAACCGGTAGTAATATAGTGCAGTACTCCGGTGATTGGTCATAGAGATGCAAGAACGGGCCGGCCCGGCCCAGCACGTTCTTCTTAGGCCCACACGGGCCGCGGGCCGAGCCGGCCCGTATAAGAATGACATCGGCCCAGCTCACACTACGGGCCAATTTTACGTGGGTCAGTATGGGCTGTGCCGCGGGCCAAGCTGGGCCATGTCGCGGGCCTGGATGGGGCAGTGTCATGGGTCTTGAATGGACCGGCCCACTCAAGGCTCATCTTGGCCCGTCATGGGTTTAGATGGGTCAGTCCATCTAAACATGCAATTTTTAATTTTTTTTTGTTTTTTATTTTTTATTTTTGCATTTTTAAACAAGTTAACAAATATATAAGTTTGAATAGTCAATGGAAATATGAAAAAAGAATATTTTATTTACGATTATCTCATTAAATAAAAATCTTTCTAAAGAAAACCTAGTGGGACAAAACCTTGATAAGGAAAAAAGAGTACAATAAGGATAATTATACATAAGATGTTTACAAAATTACTAAAAAAAAGAAAAAAAAAACAAAAATATTATGGGCCTAGATGGACTGGGCCGGGCCATTATGGGCCTAGACGGGCCAGCCTAGCCCGGCCTAGCCCATAATTTTTCATGGGCCGTGTCGGGCCAGCCCATGTGCTAATATATGTTGGCCCAGCCCAGCCCACTAATATTTATGGGCTGGGCCATGCCTTGAACAGTGACCGGCCGTGTCGGCCCGGTCCGTCACTGCGTCAAGATGGGCCTAGGTCGGCTCACGGGTCCCGGCCCATTGTTGCATCTCTAATTTGTCACGGACAACAATTGGTGGTCATTAACCGACTAGTACATTGCAAGCGATGAGGCGATTGTCATTTTAAAATGAACTAATAAAGATGATATTTTGAATGCATTAACCAAAGAAGAATAAAGAGTTCTTAAAAAGAAAAAAAAAAGTAGTTAGGTCCAAATGCACTTTGAATTTGTTTCCAGGTTTAGCGAGGAACGTGTGTACATATAGTGATAAATTTAAGTCAATAGAGACTAATAATTAAAACAAAATTTTGATGACTATAAGATTAACTTTTTATTTTCAGTGGAAATTATGTGCATATTAATATCATGTAAATGTATTTAAATATATAGCATTTAAAAAAAAAAAATTTTTGAGCGGGGGCTTGCAGCCGCAGAGAGATATTCATGTACGCGGGGCCACGTGCCCTAAAGCTTACAAAAGGTGTACAAATGCAGCAGAGGTACCAACATGATTTGGGCACAACAACGTGACTCAAAACTCGTACGAAATTAACGGATTTAAGTTTATTATAAATATATTTGAGTCAAAATCAGGTTAAACTTGTGAAACACAATAAATGACGTGTTATTTTTAGGTTGACTCGCCAACACGTAATTGACCCGCCGTAACCTGTTTATTAAACGTGTTACATTTAATAACATGAATACACAACACAATTACAATCCGTTTGTTACCTATGTTTACAAATGTATATATATATATATATATATATTAAAGAAAAACAAGTTGAGAAATAGATTGACACGACCTTATTATCACTCATTTTATAAATGAGTTATTAGAAACATGTTGACACAACACTATTATAACATGTTTAATAAATGAGTTAGTCATGTCGTGTCATGTTAACCCGTCAATATATAAGTCGTGTTTGAATTTTATATTTCGACATGAATAATAAATGAGTTGTGTTCGTGTTAAATCTTATAGTGTCAAGTCAACACGACACAACAACACGAATTGTCACTCTGAACATAACACACAATAAGTAGGGACTAGAGATTATGAGGTAATTACATGATGATTATTGATCAAAATAAAAGTTGTGGTATTGATATCCAAGGATTTGATAAAGACTTTTTTTTCCCGCTAATGAAAATAATAGACTATTTGGTCATTGTGATTGGTAAAAGCCTACGTGGCCAGGGATTTGGTTAAAGCAAATGGTCAAAACCCTAATGTGGCCAAGTGAAAGAACGGCATGTGGAATGATGTGGAGATTATATTGTGAAAAAGTATTGCAAGAGGCTCTTTAGAATCGACGGGAAATTTAACGTCAGTTGTGCCAAATTTGTTGTGTTTTATGTGAGTTTCGTGTCGTTTGGTATGTTCACTAGGGTCGTTCAGTTTGCTAATTCGAGTTATTAATTCGAGTTGAGATGTAATATTGTGTGAGAGCTTTTTACTGTAGCAAAAAAGTTAGATGTGATTGTTTCTGAGAGCTTTTTACTGTAATAAAACTCAAATTCTAAACTCGAATCAGTGAAAAGAACGGGACCGGCGTTTCAGATGTAAATATACTTGGAGGACACATGCATCTTAAATCTTAAATCCTAAATAACACCTAAACAAGAATTTCATAGAGACATATTGATTGAAGCAACAAATGATCATAAAGATTCTTGTGACTGAATGATAAAAATATAGAAAAATGAAACAAATATCTCTTAAAATGTATGAGTCTAAATTTTTACTCTTTATGCTTAATTAATATATATATTTTTTAATTAAATAATTATTTTAAGTAAAAGAGTATTAATTAATAATAATTAGTAAAAATTCAGATATTTTCTTGTCAATGACAAGAGTCATTCGAACAACAAGTCATTCATGTATAAGTGCAGAGAATCATGCAGACAGATGAAGAAAAGTTGCAAACGTAATCGGTAACTAATTATTCATTAGGATTTGATATATATTCATATTGATAAGCTAAGAAGAAGAAGAAGTAATTATTCATTAGGATTTGATATATATTCATATTGATAAGCTAAGAAGAAGAAGAAGTAATTATTCATTAGGATTTGATATATATTCATATATTGATAAGCTAAGAAGAAGAAGATTCCCTCTGCCTGTGCGATTGTCAGGCCGCAAGCCGCCTCTCCTCCTTGAGCGCAACGGTGCTCGACGGTGGCGCCGCTAATGGAGCATTTGGCTAGTCTTTATAGGGTATTATTTATTATTAATAGTTTTTACAATAAGAACTTATATCTTAAAATATATTTTTAAATCTTTAATTGCATGCTATGTCAGTAATCTGTTAGTATTATAGATTATATTATAGATGGAAGTGAAAAGGAGTTATTTGATATGTTTTCTATATATAAGAGGTATTTTGAACTGTTTTAAAAAATTAAAGATTATTTTGAAATATGGTATATAATTTAGGAGGCAATTATAAAAATAATGCTTAAAAAAAATCATCCCTACGAGCTAACGTGTTAGTTTACAAATTATTTAGATATTAATAAACTCAACATTGGTTTGACACCTCATATATTAATGTGTCCTTGTCAATCTAGTAAGAGAGTTTGAGTTGGTATCTTCCAACTGATTAATAAATGAGTCGAAAAAATACGATCAACATAAACGAATAAGCCAGATATAGGGAAAAAGATAAGCTTATATATATAAATATATATATATATACATATATTATGTATGTTACGTATAAATCATGTAAAACAGCTGTGATGATTTCAGTTGTGGAGACCATACACGTGAATCCAAATGGCATGTCTAAGTTTTGCATTACGTTTTCATTTTACCGATTCGAGTTTTGTTACAGTAAAAAGCTCTCAGAAACAGTCACATCTAACTTTTTTACTACAGTAAAAAGCTCTCACATGATGTCACATCTCAACTCAAATTAAAAACTAAATCAACGAACTAAACGGCCCTTAATTATATACACGCCAACGTAATTCCCTCTTATATAATATATTGTTACATTTATTCTACGTATGGGACTCTCTCTATGCACGTGCTTCCCATTCATCAACCAAAAGCATACTTTTAAGACATTAATGCATAATATATTGCTACTAAAAAAATGTATAATATATATTGTATGCATAAATTATCCCAATCTGGTTGAAATAAAATAAAATAAAACAATCTTGTTGTTAGGACTCAGGGGGGCAACATGCCTTATCAACTATCATAGCACTACATTGCTTCTACAAAAATAAAAATAATAAATAATAAATAATAATAAAATTCATAGCAGTATATGGCTGCCATTTAGACCAAGTAGTACTAACATGGTGGGATCTAATCCCATGAAATCTTAAATTTTGGGATTATATATAATATCATATTATGACAAATTTACTTAACTACTTTGTATTGGTTATGGAGCAGTATTGATAATAAGATAATCAGAAATATATGTCGAAATTAATATGTGTTTTATTAACAAAAGTACCTAGCGTTGGCAACAGCCAGACTAGCTATTCAGGGTTGTAGTTCTTCAACAAAAGAATCTATTATTTTATATGAATTTACGTGGCATAAAATTAGTCATATTTTTATTTATAAATGTAGTCATTTATTATTAATTAACATGATAATCTTTTAAATAACTATTAATAAAAAATAACAAATTATATACCACGTAAATTAATAAAAAGGAAAATTACAAAACTAAAACAAATCTACAATTTGAATCGATAATTTTCTTCCTATCTTATTGTAGAATTATTTTTCTTCTCTCTTTTTTTCATGTTTTTGTTTTTTTCTCTTGTTGGATGGGATCAAGTTTGACAGAAAACGCCAAGATCCACACAGTCGGCGACTCTTAGATTGGGATTGATCTCTCTGGCAATACATTCCAAATTAGGCCTCCTCACTACTTAACAAAACAAAGAGGTAAGAAGAAAAGTAAATTTTTTGTCTTTTTTTCCTTTATAATTAGCTTAACACCCTATCACCTCAACAGCTGTAATATGATGCTTAAAACAAAAATAAATAAATAAAGGGGAGTTTCTACTGTATAATTAAAAAATAAAATGGAGTTGATATTTTTTTATTTTTCACGTTTTTTTTTTAAATTAAAAACGTTTTTAAAACGGCGTTTGGTGTAATAAAGACAAAAAAATAAAAATAAAAATAATTTTTTAGTTTAGTATAAAATTAGAAAGAAATAAAAAATGACTTTTAGTCGTTTTTTATTTTTTATTTTCGTTTTCTCCTCTCTCAAGCAGAGAGAAAGAAAGAGAGACATTAATAAGTTTTTTTACACTGAAAATAATCTCCTGATAAAACCATCAAAAGCATTTTCAAAAATAATTTCTATCTGAGATTGAAAACGTTTTTATTTTCATTTTTATACAAAAAATAAAATTATTTTAAAACGAATTTTAAATACACCCAAAATTATCTATTTTTTTTAACCGTTTTTTATCGTCAGATCTGTATCAAAAATTATCTGTTCTTATACTTTTTAATTTTATTTAATTTTGATAGAGTCTCCTAACTAAAATCCAAGGACCCTTTTCCACACTAATAGCTGCTTAAAACAAAAAGTCCATCACATGGTGTGTTTGCTGGCATAACCCTGTCTGTCAATATGCGCATATTATAATCAATTAAACTTTTCTCATAATATTCCTCAGTTGTTTTTTTTTTTTCTTTTTCTCTTTTTTTTTTTCTTGGCTTGCTAAGATCATAATATTAATTCGTTGGTGTTAAGACTTGTATCCTACACACCCCACTTGCCCAATATTCTTATCTCTCTCTCTCTCTCTCTCTCATATCAACCACCTTCATGATCAAAACACAATTTCCATGTCAAATATAATAATATAGCCCTCAACGCACATGGTTTTCTCTCCATAATTCAAAACTTCATTAGCTAGCTAGCTTAATAGTCAGGCCAGTTTGGTACAGCTTTCATTTTTTTTTTTTTTTTTTTTTTTTTTTTTTATTCAGTATGATTTATACATATATATATATATATAGGTATATGAAACTAGAAAATACAAAGTTCCAAAACACCCGTGTTTTGAGGATTGAGAAAGCTGTGTGAAAATTAAGCATTAACAATGGAGCCGAATATTGATGATCACCACCAATATTACCCTTCTGAATTATCATCATCATCATCATCATCATCTTGTTCTTCAAGCAAAGATCCTGAAATTCGAGCAGTGGAGCTTTTGGAGGATTATTGGTTTTTTGGCAACTTGCTTATCAACACAAATAAGCCAAGGAATAACATGTTCGTGAGGTGGTATTCAGACCCTTGCCCTTCATCAAACACTTGTCAAGAAGCTCCGGTGGTTAATGGGACCGAAAGCTCGAGTAAAACTCCGGTAGAAGGCGGCGGTATTCGACGCGATAAGTTGGTCAGGACGCCGTCGTTGCAGCCTAATATAGTAAGAGAAGAAGGAAGAGGAGGACATGAAAGACGTCATAGAGAAAGTGATTATAAAGCCATGAAGCAGAAAGTACAAGTGCATGAAAGGGAAATTAGGAGCTGCAGCAGATCAAAGAGCAACACAAATTCGCAGCAGCCGCCTCGGAATAATTTGCTAACAAGGGCACAAACTTTGCCACCATTAACATCTATTAGGAAGGTGGAGATGAATCAAGATCATCATGATCAGGAAACAACTAACGAGAAGATCATGACCAAATCTAGCCTCCAGGCATCTCTTAACCTTGCTGATATCTTGCCTCCGAGACATAACAAGGTAAGCTTTTTTGAGTGCTCAAGGGTTTTTTTTCTAGGAGGGTTAAAAAAACCGCCACCGAACCGTCAAACCGACTTAAAAAAAAAAACTAAAAATTCAATTCCACGTCAACAAACCGATTACTTCAGTCGGTTAACCGACCGCCCATGGTTTATGGACGGTTTAGTTTCAATTCTGCCAGTCGAGGTGATTAGTTAAATCGAACTGACCAACCACCTTCTACTCTATTTAAAAAATAATAATTATCCATAAATTCAAACTTCTAATCAGTTCGGTTTTGAAACTGACCGAAATTGTCAGTTTTTAATAGATGAACACCCCTAATTTTTTCATAGTAAATTAACTCTTTTAATTTAAAGTCCTACGTATAGGAATCATAACATAAAAGTGGCACCAAATTATGATGAGAAACAAGGATTTGTATTCAATTTCCTAGTATAATCTCATTTTGTTAGCTATGGAGAAAATTAATCTTCATATATGATTTTTTTTTCCTCGAGAAATTAAAAAGAAAAAACCACCATCAGAGCTCCGTATTAGATACATATTCACATAACTACATAAAGCACTAATCTGCAACTTTGGAAGCTAGCACAAAGTACAAGCTAATAACAATTAATACAATTTGTTTCTTATAGATTTAAGTATAGCATAAATGAATAATAATGACAAATTATTATGTATGTTTTTTTTTTCCTTGTATACATGAACAATGATGGTAAACAAATAAACTAGTGAGTGCCAACCTACTAGTGCGGGGCTTAGTAGTCAGATGGGTCCCCACCAACCTGATTGAGGTCTCTTCATTTTTTTTAAAAAAAAAAAGAAAATTAGGAAACAAATAAACTACACTTGGTCTCATTCACTTCATGGAATGTAACATTTTCTAAGAATTTTTAACTGTAGCAGAAAAAATTAGATGTGATATTTTCTGAGTGCTTTTAACCGTAGAAACCTAAAATTAAAAACTCGAATCGGTGAAATCAACGAAGTCAAAATTGTTCACTTTTTCTTTTTCTAGCTGATCAGCATTAACATATATAGGCCTCGTTCACTTCGCAGATTCGAGTTTTCAATTCGAGTTGAGATGTGACATTTTCTGAGAGCTTTTCACTGTAGCAGAAAAAGTTAAATGTGACATTTTCTGAGAGTTTTTTACTGTAGAAACTTAAAACTGAAAATTTAAATCGGTAAAATGAACGAGGCCATAGTTAAAACTAAAATAAAATCTGAATTTGCAGGGCAGTTCAAGGTATAGGTCACCAAGGACCGCAGGGTTACTTGAAGATATCAACACAGATGGGTCCAAAGAAATGAGGCGCAGGTATTTTAAAGGAAGGAATTTAGGAAGAAGCCTAAGTGAGCTTGAAATTGAAGAAGTTCAAGGATTTAAGGACTTGGGATTCAAGTTTGACAACAAAGACTTGTTAAGTCCTAATGTGGTAAACATTCTTCCTGGCTTGCAAGAGAGAAAGGAAGAGGATATGGGCCTACAAAATAAGGTCAGAAGGCCTTATCTTTCTGAGGCATGGATGGCCCAAAGTGCTCCTCCTACTCCAAATTGGGCTGCAAGCAGGTCCTCTCAAGAAATGAAGGCCCAAATCAAGTTTTGGGCCAGATCTGTGGCATCTAATGTGCGTCAAGAGTGCTGAAGAAGATCAATCAAAAGACTTCCATAATATAATATGAAGGATTAATGTCACTGATGTTCCTGAGGTTTCCTCTTAATTTTATTTTACTCTAACTTAAAAGTCTCATATATTATCGGTGAAGTTTTACATTCTGTTACAATTTTAGTCCTTCTATTTGCTAAGTCTTAAATATTTAATAAAATCTGTATAAATTATCTAAAAATTAACGACATATGGAAATTAACTTTCATTTTTTGTATGATTTAGTCTTTAAACTTTAAATATTCACACTTTTGGTCCCCAAGTTTCATAAATTCCCTAAAAAAGTTAACACCTAGATGACAGAATGACTAAAATTAAAATAAAATAAAACCTCAAAGATGAATTGTGGGGCGTTTTAAAGGCAACGACTAAAACATAATTAGGGATAAATCTAAGGAACCATTTGTGAGATCAACTATAATATAAATATATATATATATATATATTTTAGGACCTTTTGCAATTCTGGCTGTTTTTTTCTGTTTTTTTGTTGGCCTTGGAAGTGCTAGCCATGAAAGAAAAATTTGTAAGAATTGCAAAAGAAGCAATATAAATAAAATTTTGATTCAGCAAATAAAATAAAAATCTTTGAGAAAATAAAAGAAGCTCCATGTAATCTTTGGAGGACATGAATTTTGTTTTCCCTTTTTCCTTTTTCTGACTGAATTAGATATTAGATGTGTTGATGACCTAATAATAACGGTGCGGCTGCGCGTTGTTAGCATTGGCTATACTTTCATATTGTAAAAATGACGCAGTTTATTGAGGCTAAGGAGACGTTTGGTTTATAAATTAGAATCATGTGATTAGAACCATTTTTGATTTACATGTATTTTTTGTAAAAGAAAATACTGTAGCGAATCATGAACCATGATTTAAATCATAGTTTGAATCCTCCAACCAAACGTACCCTAAATCTTCTTACTACTAATTGATACACTTGTTGATTTCAGATTATATTGTTACTTATTGCAATTACGTACAAATAAAATGTGATTATCCCTTGAGTGAACCTAAACCTCTAGGAATGTCAACTATCTCCTAATGATAAGCTTTCTGCAGATATTGTGTTTTTAACGTTAAATTTGATTAAAATTATATCAAAATAAAAATACATGCAAAACAGACAAAGATATAACTCTAAATAGTGTTCTACCAGTTAGCGTAGAGGGTGAAATTTACAATTAACTTGTTTCATAATCAATGACCGAGTTAGAAGTTATAAATAGTGATTATAATATTGTGAGAATGAGAATGTTAATATAGAGAAAAAAAAAAAAGTAATAACATAGCAATTTATAGATGTTAGTTCATTAGTGAGAACTACGTTCTTTGTTGGTCTATAATGGTTTTCGTATAACAGATTAAAAGGAGTACAACAATTGTCTGAGAGAAGATCGGGATGAGAGGGGAGGAATGCAAAAAAATACGAAGAAAGTGAAGGAAAAATAAAGGGAATAATTGCTACAAAGAATTTGGAAGTGTCCTTATATCCATGGGGTCTTGCCTATTTATAGTTGGTGATGGCCTCGAGTTATTTCTTGATTATCTGCATGGTCTGTCCTCCAATTGTTGGTGATTAGATGTGAAAGTTCAGGCTGCCCAGTTTAACCCGGGCCGGCGACCCGAATGAAAATTTCAGGCTGGCTCGACCTTAAATGGAAGAGGGACAATCCAGCCTGACCCAGAATTTTATAAGCTATTTTAAAATCTTTTAAAAAATGGCGTTTGGGTCAGCCCGGGCCGAATAAACTTTGAGTTTGAAATCTCTGTTCGGCCTGGGCCAACAGTGATGGGCCTTGGGTTGGCTCGGCCCAAACTTATAGTTCTAGTGGGCTTTCATTTTCAAGCAGTGTTGACTTTACCTTACTAATTTGTCTTCCTGTTGACTCATCAAGGTCAGCTAATGGTCCTTTGCGAGTTAATTTCGTGCTTTCACTATGCCCCGTTTGTTTTAGAGCCCGTTTGGTTTGAGGATTCGTTCTCTGATTCGAATAATGGTTCATGGTTCGCTACAGTATTTTCTCTCACAAAAAACACACGTAAATCGAAAATGGTTCTAATCCATGAACTAAACGGGCTCTTTTATAGATTTAAATTACAGTTTAAAATTTTTTACTACAGTGTTTTCTCTCATAAAATTTAAATTTCTATTTAAAATTATAAACCATACATGATCTAGTTTTTTTGTTCAAATATTTAAAGATTTCATATGATAGTGTGATTTTACTGATTGGGTCAACTTTTGATCATTTTCTTTTTAGTATCTCTCTACCTTGACCGGTTGATAATATACCCTTTGTAGAGAATAAAATTGCCGTTTCCTATGTTAAGAATGTATTGAGAATATTCTCTTGTTGATTTAGTGCATAAAGTTGCATATCGATTCATGAAATCAACCAATGAAAACAGTATTTTGATGAATTGATTCGACCTGTTAAGAAGTCATTGTAACTTGTTTATTTATATTTCGTTCATTTCACCGATTTAAGTTTTCAGTTCTAGGTTTTTACAGTAAAAAATTCTCAAAAAATGTCACATCTAACTTTTTCTGTTACAGTAAAAAGTTTTTAAAAAATGTCATATCTCAACTCGAATTAAAAACTCAAATCCGTTGAGAATATTAGTAATTTGAGTTGTCAATTTTACTTCAACAATAAGTATTGTTTCATAGCTTATTAAACGTTCTCGTACTTTCTAATAATGTGTGTGTTCTTTTTTTTTTTTTTGAATATTAGAAGACTATTAAAGTGAAAAGCTTGGAGTCAAAATGGTACTTTTATAGTATTTTAACACTTTCAAAACTCATTTAACAGAAAGATCTAAATACTTATAATAAAGTTTTAAACTAACTTTATGATTACTACAGTAAGACATCACTCGCTTTACAAATACTGTCTAATTTAAATTATACCATTAAGTTCAATACTACTGCACTAGAATACTCCTTAATCCAAATAGGAATTAAATTATAGTAATTCCTCTTTTATCATTTTAACAGAAATTATGACAAAAATTATAAAAGAAAGTGAGATTAATTTAAAATTTAAGAGGAATTAAATGATAATGATACTGCTTCCTCTTTTATCATGTTAAGAGAAATTATAAAAGAAAGTAAGATTAATTTAAAATTCAAGAAATAGAATGAGAGTATCTAAAAGTTCACAAGTAAAATTGAACATAACTCTATGACGTTTTGTTCATAAATTTATAATTATGATTTATAATTTTTTTTATTTACATGTATTTTTTATAAAAAAAATATTATAATAAATTATAAATTATGATCCGAACCAACACGAATCTTTGAACCAAACTCGGTGGTCAGAAATAAGATAAATTGAACCTCTTATCTGTTTTGGCCGACGGATGTCAACAAAATATCAATGTTTCCCACCAAAATCTATCATATGACATTGCAAAAACAAGAAGATATTTCTATTACCGTCACTGTGGATAGAAACACAACCAAACTAAGGAAGAGCTTGCGGAGAGCAGTGACAAAAGCAAAACCTCTCTCTCTCTCCCTCTCTCACTCTCTCTCTCCAGAAAATACAAATGTTGATACAGTCACAACAGCACATCCTCACCTCCAACTTCCCATTCTCTCTCTCTCATCACCACTTTCTCTCTCCTTCCCTTAACTTCCCCCACAGACCTCGCCTCCGTACTCTCTACTCCCCTCGACCCAAGCAGCCATGGCTAGCCGCCCAAGCCACCTCCGAACCCACCACCAGCACCGCAAAACCAGAGGAAGAAGAGGGTGGTCCGGTGGAGTTCTTCACGCCTTCTACTCCAATCTTCGCCACCGACGACGACCCTTCTCCCATCCAAGTCGCCACCAGCGTCCTCCTCACCGGCGCCATCTCCGTCTTCCTCTTCCGCGCTCTCCGCCGCCGCGCCCGCCGCGCTAAGGAGCTCGTAATATTTATTGATTTTGTTTTGATTCTGATTTCTGTGCTTTGCTATTCAGTTTAATTTATTAGGACGAGGATTTTAGATATTATGTAATGTGATTCTGTTTTTTTTTTTTTTTTAATTAATTTCTTTACTGTGGTTTAGAGGCATTAGGATGTCAGAATGTAATCCAAGGCTCGAGCGAACAAAAGAGAAAAAAAAAAAAAAAAATCTATCAGAGGATATGGAATTATGGGAAAATACCCTATAGGGTTTTGTTTTAAATTGGCATATTTGCATTCAGTTCTGTTAATTATCTGTATTTATTTATCGTTCAGAAACTTACATTGATAGGCTGAATAGAAAACTCTTGAAATTACATTTTATCGGATCTGGTTTATGTATTCAGAATCATGATTCAGAATCATTCTCGTTTTACGTGTATTTTTTGTGATAGAAAACACTGTAAAGAACCATGAATCATGATTCAGAATTATGGATGAATATAAGAAACAAACGTCCCTGTTTTACCTCCACAATGATTCGACGATTTCTTTCATGAAAAAAGAATTGAAAATTTTGACATATTTTGTTGGGAATGACGTTGGGATTCACTTTGATTTCACTTTCATTGTCATTGACTTTGAAATTTGAGGAGCTGGGTTTGTGTTATGGCACTTATTATTTTTTACTTGTATGATTTAGGTGATTTATTTGTCAGTGTAGGAGTTTATTATTTGGTTGTTGATGAAGTGGGTCATTGTGTTATGTCTAGAAATTTAGGTCCTCAGGAGTGAAGAAGTCACTCAAGGAAGAGGCACTGGACAACTTGAAAGCAATGGGGTCAGCTTCAATTGAATCCAAAGGTCCACCTTCGCCTGTTCAGGCATTGTTGGGAGCCATATCTGCGGGTGTTATTGCTGTCATTCTTTACAAGTTCACCACCACTATCGAGGCTGCTCTCAATCAACAAACGATTTCGGATAGTTACTCGGTAAACTTCCGTGATTACGTGTTTCTTTTCTGCTGTTTGATGTTTTTCTTGCATAGTGAAATTTTTTATCTATGTAGATTCACCACTACTTACTAAGCTTGCAAATTCGTAACAACCGTTTTGTTAGGCTGCGTCTTTCTTGACTTGGATCGAATTGTTTCTTGCATATTACGCTTGCTAAAGATTGAGGAAGTCCTTTCAGTACTTTCAACACTTGTGTGCGTACTTTACTGTTGTAGACTGCTTGCATTTTGGTCTCTTTGGAGCGGAAAATAAAAAATGATAAAAAAAAATTTAGTACTATGACCTTTTTCAAACATGATTTTGCTAGTTTACTTGGGATAGGGAGTGAAGTACAAGAGTACATGAGGGAGAGAGGGAGAAATAGGCTAATGAGCTGCTATGCTGAGGAAATAATGGTTGAATAAACCCATGCTGTCAATGGACACGAATTAAGTGGGAATTTTGAGAAACTTTTATAGGAAAAAGGCTATGGGGAAGAAAACAAGATGAGAACAACAATATAAATAAGAGGATAAGGGCAATATTAGGATGAAACCAACTATAGAATTGTATAGCAACCCCCATTGAAAATTAGTTGAAACTACACCTCCGTTTTGCCCGTTACCGACTTTCTATTCTAAGCAGATGGTTCTGATCTTTGAGCTTGAAATAGGAAGGACAGTTCAAATGAGGTTAATTTGTGTCAAACTTGTTCTTCTTGTGATTTTACACACTTAAACGATCACCGCGGATAGTAGGAATGCTTCGGTGTCCCATAACTATGGTCACAGAAAAAGTACAAAAATTGTTACATAGTCCGTCATTCAACGTGTATTTAAAAATTTGCATGCACAGTATAGAAAACACAATGTGTTTCTATTGTTTTCTTAATATATGACATAGAGCTGGAAAATCGCTTCTGACAACATTAACATAAATCAGTAACAGAAGAATTTTCTTGTCAATATTTCCATATAAGAAACAATATGTTTTGACATTTGCTTCAATGTTCATTAATAATATTAAGAAAAAAAAGAAAAAAACTTCGTAGCTATGGCTCATATTACTTGGCAATGTGCATATGATTCTAACACTGTACTCGTTTTCAAATTTCAGGCTCGTCAGATTACAATAACTGTAAGGTATACGACTGCTTTCTTCGAGCATGAATCGCTGTTTCCCTTTCTAAAGAATCTTGATTTACCTGTCACTTTGAATTTGTAGGACTATTGTGAATGGTTTGTGCTACCTTGCAACATTTATTTTCGGCATCAACTCTATCGGCTTGTTCCTCTATGCTGGTCAGCTTGCCATCAATTCTTTTATGGAAGGATCCACAGATGAAGAAACCGAGAGCAAAGGCGGAGAGCAGTTAAGCTCGACGAATTCGACGGTTGAGAATCCCACAAGTGCCGGTGACAGCAGCGAAGATAATCAAAGTTCAGATGACTCGCAGTAACACAAGAGAAAACTAATGCTGAAGCAGTTGAAAAGGTTATTGTATTTTTTTTCACTTGTAGAAAACTGTATTTTGATAATATGATCTCCATATTTATGCCACGATCCGCTAACCGATCTCTGCCAACTCTCGTCTCCGTTCCAGTTAAATTACTGCTGCATATCAGAGAGATGGTGTAACTGTAACTAACCTGTATAGTAGCTGCTGATAAGGGTTCTGTACAGAAAAATTCACCCTTTTGTTATAGGCAAAATCCATTTTGACCTGTCAGAAATTTGAATCCTTTTTTGCTTTCCTCCCTCTGAAAACGACCTCATTAAAAAAGTCCATGCTCGTAAAATACACAACCCTCATTATGTAAGGGATCAATTCGATACAAAGGACGTGTTTAGAATTCGTTTTAAAATAATTTTATTTTTTATATGAAAATGAAAACGTTTTCAATCTCAGACAAAAATTATTTCTAAAAATGTGTTTAGTAATTTTATTAACAGATTATTTTCAGTATAAAAAAAATTCATTAATGTCTTTGTTTCTTTCTTTTTGCTCGAGAGAGGAGAAAATGAAAATAAAAAATGAAAAATGATTAAAAGTCGTTTTTCATTTCTCTCTCATTTTACACTAAACAAAATAATCATTTTCATTTTTGTTTTTTGTCTTTATTGTGTCAAACGCTGTTTTGAAAATGTTTTTATTTTTTATTTCTTGAAAAATGTGAAAAATAAAAATGAGATTAATTCTAAACACGGTTAAAATCTCAAACTTTTAACGGATGAGAGAGAATCATGGAATGGAATGATCGTCCCTTACCATTATGCCATCACGACTTATGATAGGGTGCCATAATATTTAACCTTGTCAATTTTAACTTGGTCAAATTGAAAACTTAAAAATGAGTACATTGTAATATACAAATGAAGCTGCCAAAGTCTTGTCTTCCCATACACAATTTGCCAGATACTCTTTTTTTTTTTTTTTTCACCCCCTTTTCTAAATCTTCAAAACAATTAATTTAGAACAATACAAACAGCTGGTTAGTGATTCTGACTTGTGTACAAAAATTGCAAGTTACAATATGAAACCTTATTGCGTTTTATTTACAGTGGTCCCCCATAACCAAACAGTTCATTATTTGGGTTGTCCACATGTGAAGAATTGTAGATGCTAATATCCAAACAAATAATTCAGGATTAATATTCCCCTAATTCACAAGCAATTCATGCAAGGAAACGTGCAACTTTTTTTTTTTTTAATTACATTTTATTCAACAAGATGAAGCCGAACTCGTGAGCCATGAGGATAAAGATGAGTTATGTTATGAAAGATAAGCTTACAAGACGGTAAGATTATGCATAGCAACCTCTAGTCACAAGGTATGACTAATGTAAGAGAATATTGTCATAATACTACAGTATTTTAGGTATGATTAATGTAACAGAATGCTGTCAGAATGCTACAGTATTTAGACGTATACGGTAAGAATGAAAAAAAATTGACTTGAATTTTTAAGAAATTATAACTAGTAAGTAATAAAAATTGAGTATAAATATAGGATGTTGATCAAAAATTATGGTCATTTTATTATTTGGGTTGTCCACATGTGAATAATTGTAGATGCTAATATCCAAACAAAAAATTCAGGATTAATATTCCCCTAATTTACAAGCAATTCATGCAAGGAAACGTGCAACTTTTTTTTTTTTTTTTTTTTTTTTTTTTTTTTTTTTTAATGACATTTTATTCAACAAGATGAAGCCGAACTCGTGAGCCATGAGGATAAAGTTTGTCAAAACTGTAAAAGAGGCAAAAAATATTAATTTCTTAAACCTCTTAAAATATTGGAGTCGTCGGATGCTAACACATTTTAAGGTCTGCTTAGCTGTTTATTAATCACACCTGTACATTTAAGGAATTGTAATTTTCGATTTGTTGCTTTATTATTCGAAACATTGAGACACTCAATTAATAGTTCAACTATTGAACATTTACCATTAGCAAAATAATAATAATAATAATGTTAGGATCCTAATTGAATCTTACATTATTAAAGTATGAACTTAACATTTGAGTTTACAACTATTTGGACACCCTTTCTTTATAAACTAACTTTTGGGGATGAGTTCTACTCAAGGGTTATAACAATTGGTATCAGAGCATCCTCCTCTTTAGGCCCAAGTTGCAAAAGGCGCAACCTGGGGAGGAGCGACCAGAAAAGGTCAGAGTGAGCCATTCAAAGTGGGCCGCTGTGGACGTCAGTGTCGGAAGTGTAGTGGTATGTTAGGATCCTGATTGAGTCTTAGATTGTTAAAGTATAAACTTAATATGTGAGTTTATAACCACTTAGACACTATGTTCTTACAATATAATTTTTAAAGATGAGTTCTACCTAAATATTATAACAAATAATAATAATAATAATAATAATAACTTGCACAATCTCTATAAATCTCTTGAGCAATCAAACTGTTCACATTCCCTTCTTTTGGTTTTCATTGCATATGTTTTGTCTTACTCTACTTTTGCTTTGAAATAAGGGTAGAAAAAGACGGCATAGTGCAGAAAATCATATTTTCTTTCTTTTTCTCCTGGAAAGCCTGAAATCCCTGCAAAACATTCGAGTCCATTTGTGCTTGCTGCGTTGGAAATAGATGTTATCATATGAATGCAGGCCATCATTGATCTTAAGGCAAAACGGCAACGTAAAACCAGGCAAACAACATATATTTTTTCAAATCTCAAAAAACTTTTTCCTATTTTTCTCTTGCATCAATTTTTTTGTCATAGTTTTTTTATAACCAATTTTTGGGTTATGATTCTTATGAAGCTACTTTATTAGCAACTTGTCTTTATTGCTTATAAATATAACGAACAAGTTGCAATCTGTCCACATCTCCTCTTTCGACCCCAACAAATCAATTCCAGTATGATAAGTACTCAAATGTGACATGTTTGATCAAATAGATCTTCTAATAGAACCAGAAAAAATAAGTTATTTGTGCAACGATCAGAAATTAACTCAGTGTCTGAAAAAAATACTTTACTAATAGTATATTATTTTTACCGTCACATCCTTATTAGGTTTTGTTAATTTTGATTTTTTTTATTGTAACATAATTTTGATGCATTTTTAAGTGTTCAAAGTTCCGTTCTTTTTTTTTTTTTTTTTTTTATCTTACCATAAAATTCCTTAAGACAAAAACAAAAGGAAACATATGTTTTAAACTTTAGAAAAAAAAAAAATTTTCTGGTTGGGTCTCTTTACCAACAGAGTTAGTTTCCTACCATTAAATTTAGTCAACGTTACATCAAATTTAAAAAAAAATAAAAAATAGAGTTTTTATATAAATTTAACAGTTGAAAAATAGACTTTTAAGTAATTTATTTTTTTAAGACCTATAAGAGAAATCTCCCAAAAAATAAAGGGGGAAAACACTTTACACCAACTTGTTCCAACTCTCTATATCTAAACGTGGATTCTGGTCCCGTTCATTTCACCGATTCGAGTTTAGAATTTGAGTTTTACTATAATAAAAAGCTCTCAAAAATAGTCACATCTAACTTTTTTATTACAATAAAAAACTCTCATATAAAGTTACATCTCAACTTGATTAAAGTCCATCTTCACTTGGTATGATACACTGTACATAAAACGTGCACTACTAGTGAAGAAATCCCCTTACTAATAATTCATCATAGTATGGTTGAGTTTGCTTCTCATACCTCGTGGATTCTATTTTTTCGTGGAGGGGCAGGTGGATCTCTCCGATGGGCCGGTGGCCGGAGTTGGGTGGTTGTGGCTAGCGTTCAGGGACCTTATCTTCTCGGATTGTGTTGGTTGCTGCTATCTGGATTTGTGAACTCCCTCAATCGATTCTAATCTATAAACTAAACGTCTGTTTCTTTTTTTTTTTTCCCTTTGAACCGATTTCGCTACTGAATTTTATTTTTTTGACAATTTCAGTCCGTATCCTAAAATTGAAGCAATGATAAAAATATTTAACAGATGGACATAATAAGTTAATAATTTGAGATTTGAAATTTCACAAAAAAATGCTTAAGATATCTTGGTCTAGTGGCATTAAAGAGGGGTTTAGATGGAGATTATTAGGTTTAATATCGTGTTGTATAAAATAAAACCACAAAAATCACGGGACAAAATTTCTTTTAAGAACGTTAGAACTTATTAACTTTATGTGATTACATTTTTTTAATGAAAAAAGGTATTTCATTAATCTGAATGCATCAGTACAAATAACCTCTAATTGCATGAGATAATATCTCAATCTCAACCGACTCTATCAATAAAATTTAGTGAAACTCAAGGAGAAAAACTTGTACTGAGACTTGATAACAAAAAAATTCATCAATACACTCATAATAGAGCACATGTAATTAGATAATAAATACATAACTATTTCCATTAAGTTTAGTCTCAAAATGATCAAAAATTCTATGGGACATAAAGATAAAAGAAAAAAAATATTACTTCTAGAAAATTTCAAAGACAGATAATGTCAAACACTTTTATAAATAAGGCTCTTTTTAATATAGGGCCTTATACAAATAATGTACGTTTATAATCGTTTAATCAAATTAAAATGAGATCAAAATAAAAATATATACATACATAATAAACAGTTTTTAATATAAATATAACGATTAAAAAATAAAAATTTAACAGTATTGTAATTTTACGTTTGGTTCATGGATTAGAATCATGAAATTAAAATTATTTTTAATTTACGTATATTTTTATGAGAAAAAATACTGTAATAAACCATGAACTATAATTCAAATCATAGTATAAATTTTTTTACTAAATGTAATCTATGTAAAAATCTTTTATTATTCGCATTATAGAAAACATCAGCACTATTCGATACCACAAACCGTAACTTAAAGCTGTGAATGACATTCCAATGCCACAATCACATTACCCATAAACAATTATTTGCTACTAGTATTATCTACCGATATAATTATTCGCAGGTAGCATTATTGAGAGACAAAAAGACAATAATCCCCATCCAAATTGTCACTTCGCTTGTCTCCCATAGTCCCATCATCACCACACCCACCATCAAGCCGTCTTAACACTTCGAAAATGACCCCAAGAAAGAGAAAAGAAGCTCCTCCATATTGTAAAAAATAAGCTAATATTAAAATCGTAAGAAAGTATATATATATCAATTTTTAGTTATAGAAATTAATAAGTCATAACTTATTAAGTTATGGTTTATAATTAAATAAATTATGGATAAATTTGTCAAGTTATAGTTCATAGTCAGATAAATTATGGACAATTATAGACAATAACTTATCAAGTTATGGTTCATAACCAGACTAGTTATAGACGAAAACAGTAATTTAATCTATTTATTAACTTATGTAAACTATTGACTTATTAATTTTAATTCATCTAAGTCTTGACCTATTTTCTTCTCTCTCCCCTTACAATATCACTCATTGTTCGTGTATATGATATGGGCCGTTGATATATCCCTTGGGATGTAATTTTATGTAAAAAAAATTTACTGTAATAAAAAAAATTTAATATTTTTTTATAAAAACTTTTAATTGTAATAAAATTTAAATTAATAAAATAAATGAGACCTAAAATCATATAAAATTTTACCTATTTAGTTCGTTAATTTGAGTTTTTAATTTAAATTAAGATATGATTTATGTGTAAATTTTTTAATATAGTAAAAAAATTAAATGTGAATATTTTTAAAAGTTTTTTTATTATAACAAAACTCAAATTTTAAACTCAAATCGATAAAATGAACAAGATTAAAAGAGACGTTTGGTTCATTGATTAGAATCATAAAATTAGAATTATTTTTGATTTACGTGTATTTTTTATGAGAAAAAATATTATAACAAATCACGAATCATGATTCGAATAAGAATAAAAATCTCCCAACTAAACAATCCATAAAATACCATTTACTATCACCAACCTACCATGTGAGAGCAAATTAGTGCTTGTTGGCTTTTTGACTTTTACCACCTAATGCCCAACTCCTGTGCCCCATAACTTTTAAATTACATGTCCAATGGCAATGGGTATGTACACCTCAACCTTTGTATCGAATTCAGGAACTGTTCACCTTTTTTATTTTTTTTTATTATTTCTCTCGGCAAGAGAAAAAGAAAATATTGCAGGTCATTTACACTAGAACAAAAAATTTGAGTAAGTTCATACATGAAAACAACACCAAAAGGCAAATTACTAGAAATTGATACAACAAAACTCTCGATAGTCTTACGAATTTACCAAGAAAACCACAATAATAATAATAATAATAATAATAATAATAATAATAATAATAATAATAATAATAATAACAAAGGGTGATGATAAGACCAAAAGAATACAACTTAAAAAATTAGTAACTAAAAATTTACAGACCATTAAGGAAAGAGAAAAACAACTATCGAAAAAGCACTCTGAAAACCTACATATTAACCCATACAACTTTCCACTTTACCCACGCTTTCTATTCTTTTCACTATTTTTTTTTTTTTTTCCTAACTAGAGATTTTCTCAATTATTACACCGGCTCAAACCCCACCCCCAGCCGCGCCGACCCCGAGCGTAGCCTGGCGGTGCGGCTCGAGCTTCCTATTCTTCCAAAAACGTGCATCCGGCGCCAGGTTTGCCGCCGATCTCATCGGCTCCGACTTGCATCGCGTGAGCACAAACGGCTCGAATCCCGGCTTCGTCCCCACCAGCTTCCGCTCGATCACACTGGCCATCGACTGCTGAGCCGCCGCCGCTGCCGCCGCCGTCATCGGCAACGAGCAAGAAGACCTCGGCGGCTGCATCAGCTGCGCAGGTGGAACACGATTATGAACTGGGCCACCGACACCGTCGACGGCCGTCACATTGGGCCGCTTCTTGGGCTCTTCCGGGAGCCTTTTCAGGTTGACCCGGCGACGATCCGGTAACCACTGGATGAAATCCGTACTGCAAACCCACGTCTCCTTTGAGACCTCCATTGAAACCTTGGGTTCGCACATCATCAACAGCAAGCAATCGGGTAAATTCGATTCCAAATTCATTCCCTTCTCTTCTTTCGGTTCCTCCCGACCCGTTTTCTCTTCGTCGGTTACGACCTGTTGTTGGGTTGTCGTCTCCGCTTCTTCTACTTCTTCCTTCATTGACCCTTCTGCAACTCTCTCTTCCTCTTCTTTTTCTTCGGACGCTGAAGAAAATATGGGCTTCTCGTATTCTTCCTCTTTTTCTATTTCCTTTTCTCCTATTGCGAATTCCTCTGGACAATGTGATTCCTTTTCTTCTTCTTCTTCTTCTTCATCATCATCCGCTTCTACCTTCTCTTCTGGATCTACGACATTTTCTGGTTCATCTGTCGATTGAATCGCATCCAATTCTTGCTTCTTCTCCTCATCTTCCTCTTCTTTTTGCTCTAGCAAAACTACTTCAAAATCTTCTTCTAATGGTTCTTCTTCAGTTGCATCACCAGCTATTTCTGCATTACCATCCATTTCAATACTGGTTCTTCTTTCCACGTTTTCTTCTGGTGCTTCATCAACAACAACAACAACTCCCTCTATGTCTATGGCTTCTTCCTTAGTAACCATTTCCGGCCGCTTTTCTTCTGGGGTTTCTTCTTCTTCACCTTTTTTGCCATTGATATTAATACAAGAAGAATCATACTTTTCGCTGCACATATCCGACTTGGGATGATCTTCACACTTGTCTTCCTCATTTACAACTTCCGCTTCTCGCTCTTCATTTTCATCGCCTTTCTCCGGTGGATCCCAGAACCGGTTAGCCAGCGCCGCCATTTTCACAGGGTCAGATCTGCACCTCATCAGCAACAGAGCATTTTTCGGCGGAATGCAAATACTAACCCTACCCACCGTCTCTTCTCCTTCTCCTCCTCCATTACCACCAACTTTATCAAAACCAGTACTCTTCTCATCTTCTTCCTTAAACTCAATCCCCTCAAAAACTCTCCTCCTCAAACTCCTCCCACCACTTCTCTCGTCTTCTCTCTCCTCCTCTTCTTCTCCCACCACCAACTCTATCTCTCTCCCCTTACCCTCCCCATCCTGCAACGACACAAGCCACCGCGCAAAAACCGCACCACAAGACCTCCCATTGAAAGAAGTGGAAGATGTTCGCTTTTCTAGCTTATCGCTGCAATTATTATTATTATTATTACTACTCTCCTTCTCACCCGCCGCCGTCGTGTTCGTGCACGAAGACCGACACGGCAAGAAGCAGTTGAACTCCCTCAACGCTTCGCAGATCGTAACCCACTTATGAGAATTCTCCTCCGCCGTCTTGTGTGTTTCATCTTCTTCAAGTTTTAGTTTATTATTCTCTTCTGCTCTTCTGAAACTGGCCTCACCGCCGCCATTACTGGATCTCCGCTTCGACGGTCTGGCGGTGGCGGCCCTCATTTTCTTCCCCTGTTTCTTGGTCTTGACTCGGACTTGCCCAATACACGTGACTTTAGGAGAAGAAGGTTCTGGGTTCTCGAAAGCGCCGCCGCAGCCGGATCTCTTCTTGTTCCCGACCGCCGTCGGGAACATCGGCGAGGCCTGGCCGCCTTTAAGGCTTCCGCTGGTTTTGAGCCTCCGGCTGAGAGAGGAGGAGAGGGAGATTTGGGAGGAGTCTCTGGCTCGCCCCGGGCTTAGGATTGACTTGGAGGAGATTTTCATGGAGGAAGACGAGGAGAGACGAGATGTGAAGCAGATGAAGAGCTCGCTTGTTGCGCCGCTTGTAGTCGTGGGTAATGATGATGATGTTGTTGATGATGACTCCATTGTTTTGATTCAACAAGTTTTGGACATTGTTTTGTTTGTTGATGATGATGGTGATGATATTTGTTTGATTTGTATGGTTGGTGTTGTGGTTGCAGAGGTAGGGCAGAGTCTTGAGAGAGGAAAGATGGAAGAGTGAGTGGAGTGAGTGAGTAAAGAGAGAGAGAGAGAGGAGGAGAGAGAGAGAGATTGGTGGGAGAGTGATGAGAAGTTGTTTGTCTTTAGCAAAACGAAACTGACTGTAGGGGTATCATCAGGTTTGAGTGGGCCTCGTTTGGTGGATGCTTCATCGCTTTGGTTTTTTGGTTTGAGATATTTAATTAAAGTAAATATACAAATCTATACATTATTCAGTCAGTAATTAACCTTTAAAATGACTAAAAGCACTTAAATTTATGTATTCATAATCATAATTTAAAATTATTATCATTTTACGTATATTTTTTATGAGAGAAAAAATTATAAAGAATCATGATTCATGATTTAGAATCAATGACGAATATAGAAAACAAACATCTCCTAAATCTCTGATTGTTTCATCATTTAATTCAGTTCAACTCAATTTAAATTTGTGTTTGATAAGCATACAGTTTGAATTATATTTTTCATTTGAATTAAGTTGAACGGTCTAACTTAGAATTTAGCTCTATCCCTCAAGTTCAATCGTTCAAACAATTTTTAAACAGTCAAAAATGTGTCTACTCTCTCTGCTTTTCACACCTACCAAACACAAATTTGAATTTTATTATCAATTCAAATTAAAATTTTAACTACACATCCAAACATTAATTCAAATTACAATTTAAACCACACGGTTTGAGTTTTTCTGTTCAAATTAAAAAATTTAAATCAATAAAATTTAAACTAGCGAATCACACAGGGACTAAACTATCCTTCAAAACAAGAGTTTAAAAAAAATTAAACATTCCAATATTACAAAACATAAAATTTGAAATACAAAGGAAAACCAATTTCAATGGTATTTTGCATATTTTTAAGGTTAAAATCGTAAGTTTAATTTTTGTTTTAGTTTTTTTTATTCAAGGGTATTTTAGACATTTTAAATGTTAAAATCAATGGTTGAGTATGGAAATGTACAAATTTAGGTATTAAATATAATTTGAATATATACATTTGATAGATAAAAATCGAATGTATAGTTTTTGAATAAATTCAAAACACATAGTATAAAAACGTAAATATAAATATTCCTTTTGGTTTTCCAAATGACCATATTACCCTTGATGTCTCTGTTCATATCTTTTTATGACGTTTTTTTTCTTAGTCAGGGGATGACAATGATTTTGCTGGAGCACTTCCAATTTTTTTTTTTTTTTGGGAATAAAATTAAATTTTAATTTTCAAAAACAAAAAATGTACACATACATGCGTTGGCACTGGCATTGTGGCATCGGTTTCATTCATCCCATTATTTATTGTTATTCCATAGTTACACCAATGCATTTATAAAAAAAAAAAAAGAAAGCAAGTGTACCATATAATATCACATTTGAGATTTGTGCTTTGCTGGGGTAATATACAATATAATAGGGCTCATTTTGAAGGAGCTTTGTATAATAAAATTTCACTCTTATGTTGTTATTAAATTTCGTTTTTTTCTATTGTCATAATGGAATAAATCACCTTTTAAAACATACGTTCAATAATACGTTTTTTTGTTTATGTCATACCATTGAAATCAGCACAAGGCTTATTCCCAAGTGCTTGGGAGAACATTCTTCAATTTGCGAAGGTCCTTTTAGTCCTGTCATAAAATTACAAGGAAAATAGTAGAAAATAGGCCAATATGAAAAACTTAAGAAAGTATATAGGCCAATTTTTAGTTATAGAAATTAATAGGCCATAACTTGTCAAGTTATGGTTCATAACCAGATAAGTTATGAACAAACTTGTCAAGTTATGGTTCATAGTCAGACAAGTTATGAACAATTATGGACAATAATTTGTCAAGTTATGGTTCATAACCAGACAAGTTATGGACGAAAACAGTAATTTGGCCTATTTATTAACTTATGTAAACTATTGACCTATTAATTTTAATTCATCTCAAGTCTTGGTCTATTTCTCTCTTTCTCCCGAATTACAACTGGTC